GTGCTAGCAAAACAGTCCTGTAGCTTGGCATCTGCGTCATCTGACCACTTATACAGTATTATGTAAAGTAAGGTTTATTCTACATGGAACTGTTACACTTGAAAGTTATCAAAATACTTTGTTTAGAATATCTACATAAGTTCAGCAATTGAACTCTTCTCATATTACTCTGTAGGGTACTGACCGATGAATTGTCAGTAACTACATAGTGGTATGAGAAGAGTGCCATCCTCCTGCATCTCACATCTGCCTGTACTGAAGTTATTGAACTGCTGCCACCTGACTTTACCTGTCCATAACCTGTAATACATTACATAGATGGAAGGGACTTCATCACCCAGAGAGCTGTGCATGTCAGTGTGTGGTTAGACAGCCAAATAGAATGCCATTCTAGTTCTGGTTAGACAGCTGAAATTGTACAACACAACTTTTTTTATTTGCTAGGTAAGTGTAGGCATACTATCTTTATAAGCACATCAATATGATATTTACAGCATAACATGTTTTGTCTTTGTAACACAAACGCACTCATCGATATTTTGTTGATAAATGCATGTACACTCAAGCTGGGCAATGTTTGTGCAATATCCACAAGTAGCCTACCCCTGTTGTAGGAATATTAGTAGTTCTGGGATTTGTCCCCTGGGAAAGATCTAACAGCCGACATAAGGAGAGACAAGACAAAACTAGCCAGTTATAGAATATTGGGTTGTAGGACAGCTGAGCTGACTCAAGACCGGGCATTCAACTCGCAGTTAATATAGTTTCCATGGTAACATGTATTTACATGATGTGATGAAACATTGACACTAAATTGCAAGCAACTTTCGTAGCAAGGTGTTATAGAAGGATTGTCTTATGAAACACATTCCAGACACTGGCTCTTGCTATCTTGTCATAACTGATTTGACAGAGAAATACCAGCTAGATAGGATAGCCAGCTGCAGCTATCATCAAGCTATGTTAGCTAGCTGCTGTCAGCTTTGCTAAACACAAGATCAGCGCAGGCTTTCGCCTACACATAGAACTGAATTCGCAGACTCTCTAGAGATGGCGAGTCAGTCAAGAGAGGTCCTAAACTTCAAAACGTTCTCTCCATAGCAAAGCTATCTTAGCTTACCTTGCTGTACTCACTACTGCCCTTGTTTGTTGTGATTGAATGGCAAAGAAACACGCACATCAAACCACACCCCCAAGACAACTCTCATTTGCTTTCAGCCATGGCTGAAATTATCATTGATGGAAAACAAGGCCAAATCAGGAAGTGCAGTTGCTCTTTAACCTTAGCTGTTCCAGAGAAAAGCAAACTGTCTCGACTGGTCGCTGAACACGATGTTGCGCTAGCATGTAAGCAATGCCAATTGGCCTGGATACTGACCGTCTGCTAAGCTAATAAGTAATATGAAGGGGGGGGGGGGGGGGGGGTACATGGGGACTGGATCTAGATCAAGGCATTGAAACTTGGGATCGTTACCAACTCGCAGACTCACATACACTCTTAGATAAAAAGGTGCTATATAGAACCTAAAACGGTTATTTGGCTGTCCCCACAGGAGAACCCTTTGAACAACCCTTTTTGGTTCCAGGTAGAACCCTTTTGGGTTCCATGTAAAATCCTTACCACAGAGGGTTCTACATGGAACCCAAAATACTTCTACCTGGAACCAAAAAAGGTTTTACCTGGAACCAAAAAAGGTTCTGCTATGGGGACAGCCAAAGAACCCTTTTGGAACCCTTTTTTCTAAGAGTGTACCACATACATACACTCAGTGCTTGACTTGGGCAGGAACTCACCGGAGCTGAGTACCAGCACCTCACATTTTTAACTGCTTGAGTTTCTGCACCTCTTATAGAATATTAGCTCAAAAGTATTGTGGCTGCACCTAAATATAAACAGTATCGGCACACAAAATGAGTACTAGCACCTATTTCAGTCCAAGTCAATCACTGCATACACTCTTCCCCACACGGGCACACACTTATACACACATACCTCCCTGCACATATACACACATAAGCATGACACTTACAAGTGTGTAAGTGTGTAACTAATTTTTGTATTTGGTTTCTCAACTACAAAGAGTATCGACGCCAATGCTAAAGGACTTGGCACCATATATCCCGAGAAACGATTTCATCCCAAATGTGGATGGGCCTACCCATTGGGCAACATTTCAGATCTGATGTTCTGGTTGTGTGCTGTTAATAAAAGGTATACTGAAAATAATTGCTACTGTGAGAGTATGCATAAGATATGTGTCCAGACTGTGGAACATCCACATAAGTACATCAATGGCCTCAGTGTCAATGTAAGGTCTGCAAATAAAATGTGCTTTGATTTGACTCAATGTTTTATGGTACCAAAGAGAAGTTAATGTGTTGAATAAAACAGGTACTAGTGTAACAGAGGGGGTTTAGTGAAACATGCTCATGTGATGAGTAAACCATTTTTATGGGGACTGGATCTAGATCAAGGCATTCAAGCCTGGGATCGTTACCAACTCGCAGACAAACATACCACATACACTCAGTGCTTGACTTGGGCAGGAGCTCACTGGAGCTGAGTACTGGCACCTCAATTTTTTTTACTGCTTGAGTTCCTGCACCTCTTATAGAATATTAGCTCAAAAGTATTGTGGGGTTCCTGCACCTAAATATAAACAGTATCGGCACACAAAATGAGTACCAGTACCTATTTCAGTCCAAGTCAAGCACTGCATACACTCTTTCCCACACAAGCACACACTTATACACACATACCTCCCTGCACATATACACACATATGCATGATACTTACAAGTGTGTAAGTGTATAACTAATCTTTGTATTTGGTTTCTCAACTACAAAGAGTATCGACGCCAATGGTAAAGGACTTGGCACCATGTATCCCAAGCAACGATTTTTCATCCCAAATGTGGATGGGCCTACCCATTGGGCAACATTTCAGATCTGATGTTCTGGTTGTGTGCTGTTAATAAAAGGTATATTGAAAATAATTGCTACTGTGAGAGTATGCATAAGATATACACTACCAGTCAAAAGTTTGGACACACCTACTCATTCAAGGGTGTTTCTTTATTTTAACTATTTTTTACATTGTAGAATAATAGTGATGACATCAAAACTATGAAATAACACATATGGAATCATGTAGTAACCAATAAAGTGTTAAACAAATGAAAATATATTTTATATTTGAGATTCTTCAAATAGCCACCCTTTGCCTTGATGACAGCTTTGCACACTCTTGGCATTCTCTCAACCAGCTTCACCTGGAATGCTTTTCCAACAGTCTTGAAGGAGTTCCCACATATGCTGAGCACTTGCACTCATCCCAAACCATCTCAATTGGGTTGAGGTCGGGGGATTGCGGAGGCCAGGTCATCTGATGCAGCACTCCATCACTCTCCTTCTTGGTCTAATAGCACTTACACAGCCTGGAGGTGTGTTGGGTCATTGTCCTGTTGAAAAACAAATGATAGTCTCACTAAGCCCAAACCAGATGGGATGGCGTATCGCTGCAGAATGCTGTGGTAGCCATGCTGGTTAAGTGTGCCTTGAATTATAAATAAACTTTCCTGAGATCTAAAGTCTTGCATTAACTCCCTGAGCTTATGCCTACAGGCTTAAGCTCTGCAGGCTAATACAGTCATGTGTCACACAGACAACCCAGGTTCAATATCTGATCAGTGGCATTGGTGGGGTGACCTGGATTTGGTCAGCTGATGTCTGTCAGCTGCATGGGTTGTTACGGAGAGAAGGAGGAGGTCAAAGGGTGAAGTGTAACGGAGCCGGAAGTGGTTTTTCTCACAGAAGACTGGCATGCTGATACTCACATTGTCTGTCTACCCTAGCATAATCTAATGAGATGGTATGTCCTTGCATGAAGTCTATCGTTTACTCCCCAAGCTAATTCCTAGGTTTTAGCTCAGCGGGCTAATGCAGTGGTGTGGCACGCAAACACAGGTTCAATATCTGGTCAGTGGCATAGTTGGGACGACCCGGATTTGGTCACTTAATTCCTGTCAGCTGCTGGGGCTGTTCCGTAGAGGAGGAGGTCAAAGGTGGTGAAGTGTAACAGAGGAGGGTTGGTGAACCACGATCGTGTGATGAGTAATTGTGCCTGAGACTTTACAATTTGTGTTATATTTTTGAGCTAATACCTAGGATTTAGCTCAGCAGCCGTTGTCGTTTTATGGCATGCAGACAACCTATGTTCGATACCCAGTCAGTCACACTAGCAAAGTGTGGTGTATCTAGTGTGCACTAGAAACAGAACTGGGTTCAGAATACTACTTGAAATAATTTCAAACACTTTCACTTTGCTCGATTGAGCTTGCCTGTTGCAATGGAACTAATAGAGCCTGTGGAAAAGTTCCAAAAGTTCCAACCCCGTCCCCGCCCACCTGGCACTTCTGGCTGGCTAAAGCAAACGCTCAAATTATTTAAATGATTTCAAATAGTATACCGGTACTAGAACTAGAAACACCAGAGAGTGTTGCTGTCTCTCCCTCTTATCCTGGCTCACTAAAGAGACTCCAAGGTGGGTTCTTTTTTTTGTTTCACTGTCTCACTCCCTGGCTCACTTTATAGAGACCCTTGTGTGAAAGTATCTCTTTTCACTGTCTCTCCTTCTCTAAAAATACTCTTATTGCATGGTTTCTTCTTGTAAAAGTCCTCCCTCCCTGTTTCTCTGCTCACTCCAGGGCAGCGTTGTTCAACTCCTGGCAACCCACAGTGTTTTGTTCCAGCCCAGTAATTACACACCTGATTCAACTAATCACCTAATTTAAGACCCTTAATTAGCTCAAATCAGGTGTGTTAGTACTGGGCAGGAACAAAAGCCTACATACCTTGTGGGTCCTCAGGACCATGATTGAAGAACACTGCTCTAGAGAGAACCAGCTATGGCACATGACTCCATAGAGATGTGTTCTATTTAATTCTGTGGATGACTTTCTCCCTCGCTCTTTCTCTTTCTATAGCTCACTCTAGACTAGAGCGACTCTGGTGTGGTGGTATCTCTTCGCAATGCGAAGATGGCACCCCTGCTCCCTCCCACAGGCGCTGATGCGTTCCGCCGCTTCACCCCAGAATCCCTGGCAGAGATCGAGAGGCTCATGGAGGAAAAGCGAATAGCCGCAGAAGTAGAGGGGTACGTAGATGATGGGCCATCGGAGCCCAGCAAAGACCTGGAAGCCGGCAAGAGTCTGCCCATGATCTTCGGAGATGCCCCAAAGGAGATGCTCAACACAGCTCTGGAGGACATAGACCCCTTTTACAAAGCACAGAAGGTCAGTCCAGAACACCTAAAGCTCACCTAGCAATTTCGCTGGACTGTAATACATTAACATTTGCTTTTTGTTTTAGTACTTTTTTTTACATTGTCATGACTCAAGCAAAGCAAAGATACTATATTCTGACATGTCATGACAGCTGACTTAACATACATGTGTTGCACGCTAAGGCCCCAATTTTATCACTTTATCACAGGAAAACCGCACTACGGGTTCACGAGATTCACAAGGTTCTCAAACGTTAATGCTGTTTCAGAGGTGTTAACTGCATGCGTTCAAAGAGACACACCCCACACACTGTTCCTTTCAGGGACATCGCCAATGGATATTGCCACTAACCAAGCCTGTCCTTTAACATTCTGAGTGAACCCACAGTGTGGTTTTCCTTTATCTGTGATAGATTGAATTGGGGCTAAGAGAGGTTAGTAAACTAGGCTGCTAGCCTGGATTATCTTGCTGGAATGTCACTGCAGTATGACAGGATGGATGACTTGACAAATATGATTCCATAAGTAGTTCGGAGTGCATGTAAAATCCCTTATGTCATGCATAAGACTGCATTATCACTATGTAAGCTTTGTGTTCAGAGTTTAATCTTTATTATTTACAACAGTCGTTATTTTAGTCCTTCACTTTGCAGTGCAGTAATGTCTTTTTATGTTGTGTTTTTCCAGACCTTTATCGTGATCACCAAAGGAAACACAATCTTCAGGTTCAATGCTGAATCAGCTTGCTACATTCTAAGCCCCTTCAATCTTCTTAGAAGAGGAGCCATTAAAATTCTCATACATTCATATCCTTTTTAATGTAGGGACTCTAGCTGCCCTGTGTAGGGAAGGGGGGATTGTAAGAAGGATGGTCTTGTATTGTTGTGGACTGTATATAAAGCTGTACCCCATCAGGGTTTAGCGACCCTTGATGTTACCATATTGGCTATTGCAGTACAGTCAGTGTGCCCACCAGTTTGCCTTGACTCTATATTAAGTTATTTAGCATGTTCATCATGATTACCATTCTGTCGAACTGCTTTTTTATGACGATGAGCGACCCACCGTCATGGAGTAAAACTGTTGAGTAAGTATACCAACCTGTGATGAATTTCAGGCTTGATTCCTGAAAGGGCTATTGTATGTGTCACTGTTTTACCACGATATCTAATGGTTCAGTGTCTTAAGTCATGTAAACAATTCATTATCTCTGAATTACAATGTAGCTCACAGAGAGAGAATTGCAGAAGAGTGCATTGGAAAGATATTAATTGTTTTCTCCTTGCAGGTATGTTTTTACTGGTATTTATACCTTTGAGGCCTCATGCAAAGTGTTGTCAAGAGGCTTTGTTGTCGGACCTTTTACATTCCTTCGAGATCCATGGAATTGGCTGGATTTCATGGTGATCAGCATGGCGTGAGTATCTGATCACCTGACTGGCTCTCAACGCTCTTTCACCAATGATATAATTGTTAGCAAACTGGAATGGTTAGTAATGTTTTATAACACATTTTGTACATCCAGCCTTTATTTATCCAAATAAGTAAATTAAGAAATTCTTATTTTTGCAATGACCCCTGGCTACATTCTATTCCAGAAATACGCAGTGCATTAAATAAATGAATGAATGAGTTAATCTTAGAAAAACAAATGTAAAACATTTTAAAACATACCCAATAATAATGCTAACTAAAAAAATAAATGATATCCAATAGTTTGTGACATACAACACGTCTTGTTGCGAGATGGATAAATGGTTTTGGCCACCCTCTCAAGCAGTGTGTCCATTTGGCCCAAGAACTGGACCAATATAAAAATAGACTCTATAAAAAAAAGATATCATATACCACAGCGAACACCATGTCTGATGTTTTGTGTACTATTTTGTATTTTTTTTAACACACTAGACTTTCTTCAGTGACAGATCCACTGTTGTCCACTGTCAGTCAGTCCACAATTAAACAACGTTAAAAGTAGTAACTGACTAATTATATTGCTTGTACTGTGTGTCTCTCCACAGGTACGTCACAGAGTTTGTTGATCTAGGCAACGTGTCAGCCCTTAGGACGTTCCGTGTACTCCGAGCTCTTAAAACAATCACTGTGATTCCCGGTATGTTTTCATCCAGCCTGGTCTCATAGACTAGACGTAACATAGTACATGTAAATCTGGAACACTCCTAATTAGTATGATATGTTACTGTTGGAATGGTTACATAAGACAGAAGGTTACTTAAGGCAAAAACTAAAGTTGGGTGGTTGGTCGGGGTGGATGGGTAGGCATATAACACGAACGTCTAGCAACCCCAAAGGTTGCGTGTTCGAATCTCATCACGTTTCAAATTTAGCATTTTAGCTAATTAGTAACTTGCAACTACTTACAAATGTTTTGCTACTTTGCAACTACTTAGCACGTTAGTTAACCCCATGTCAAAGGCTGATGTGTATGCGGTGGTGAAGTCAGGCGCAGGACACAGAGGATAAGTAAAGACGACTTTACTCGAACACTAAATACGCACGAAATAAACCTTTCCATCACTGGAGGGAAAAACACCATATGCGTAAATTACACAAAGAGTATAACACCGACACAATGCATCCAAGACACGCGGACAATAACATACAAAGACAAAACACAAAACAGGTGAACTTATACGTGACATAATCAATACAGAATACGCAACAGGTGTACCCACTAGACATGACAAAACAAACATCGAAAACATCAAGCGGTAGCAGCTAGTACTCCGGGGACGACGAACGCCGAAGCCTGCCCGAGCAAGGAGGAGGAGCAGCCTCGGCGGCATCCGTGACAGTACCACCCCCTTGACGCGCGGCTCCAGCCGTGCGCCGACCCCGGCCTCGGGGACGGCCAGGAGGACGCGGAGCAGGGCGCGTGGGGTGACTCCGGTGGAACTCCGTCAGGAGGGAGGGATCTAAAATGTCCCTCCTAGGCACCCAGCACCGTTCCTCCGGACCGTACCCCTCCCACTCCACGAGATACTGCAGACCCCCCATCCGACGTCTCAAATCCACGATGGACCGGACTGAGTACGCCGGAGCCCCCTCGATGTCCAGTGGGGGCGGAGGAGTCTCCCGTATCTCACTGTCCTGGAGTGGACCAGCTACCACCGGCCTGAGGAGAGACACATGGAACGAGGGGTTAATGTGATAATCATTAGGCAGTTGTAACCTGTAACATACCTCGTTCAATCTCCTCAGGACTTTAAATGGCCCCACAAACCGCCGACCCAGCTTCCGGCAGGGCAGGCGAAGGGGCAGGTTTCGAGTCGAGAGCCAGACTCGATCTCCAGGTGCGTACACTGGACCCTCACAGCGGTGGAGATCGGCGCTCGCCTTCTGCCTATGGATAGTCCGCTGCAGATGTACATGCGCAGCGTTCCATGTCTCCTCCGAGCGCCGAAACTACTCATCCACCGCAGGAGCCTCGATCTGGCTCTGATGCCATGGTGCCAGAACCGGCTGATACCCCAACACACACTGGAAAGGGGTCAGATTCGTAGAGGAATGGCGTAGAGAGTTCTGGGCAATCTCTGCCCAGGGGATATACCCGAACACTCCTCCTGTCGGTCCTGGCAATAAGATCTCAGAAACATACCCACATCCTGGTTCACTCTCTCCACCTGCCCATTACTCTCAGGGTGGAAACCCGAGGTAAGGCTAACCGAGACCCCCAAGCGTTCCATGAACGCCCTCCAGACTCTAGAGGTGAATTGGGGACCCCGATCAGACACTATATCCTCGGGTACCCCGTAGTGCCGGAAGACGTGGGTAAACAAAGACTCAGCAGTCTGTAGGGCAGTAGGGAGACCCGGCATTGGGATGAGACGACAGGCCTTAGAGAACCGATCCACAACGACCAGAATAGTGGTATTCCCCTGGGAGGGGGGAAGGTCTGTGACAAAGTCTACCGAGAGGTGAGACCACGGCCGGGGGTTGTAACTTCCCCCTGGGCAGGTGTCTAGGCGCCTTACACTGAGCGCACACCGAGCAGGAGGAGACATAAACCCTCATGTCCTTAGCCAATGTTGGCCACCAGTACTTTTCACTAAGGCAGTGCACTGTCCGGCCAATACCTGGATGTCCAGAGGAGGGTGACGTATGAGCCCAATATATGAGACGATCACGAATCTCGAGCGGAACGTACGTCCGCCCCACTGGACACTCTGGAGGAGTAGGGTCGGTGCGTAACGCCCGCTCGATTTCCGCATCGACCTCCCACACCACCGGTGCCACCAGACAAGACTCCGGCAGTATGGTAGTGGGCTCAATGGACCTCTCCTCTGTGTCATATCGCCGGGACAGGGCGTCTGCCTTACCGTTCTGGGACCCTGGGATGTAAGTGAGCTTAAAAACAAACCGGGCCAGAAACATGGCCCACCTAGCCTGACGAGGGTTCAGTCTCCTAGCTGCCCGGATGTACTCCAGGTTACGATGGTCAGTCAGAATGAGAAAAGGGTGTTGAGCCCCCTCAAGCCAATGCCTCCACACCTTTAGGGCTTGAACCACGGCTAGCAGCTCCCTGTCCCCCATGTCATAATTACGTTCCGCCGGGCTGAGCTTCTTAGAGTAAAAAGCGCAGGGCCGGAGTTTAGGAGGCGTGCCTGAGCATTGAGACAGTACAGCCCCAATACCGGCCTCTGACGCGTCCACCTCCACCTGGAACGCTAAAGCGGGGTCCGGATGCGCCAGCACCGGAGCTGAGGTGAACAGGTCCTTCAGTTTACTAAACGCCCTGTCCGCCTCAGCCGACCACTGTAAACGCACCGGGCCCCCCTTCAGCAGGGAGGTGATGGGAGCTGCTACCTGTCCAAAACCCCGGATAAACCTCCGGTAGTAATTGGCAAAACCCCAAAACCGCTGCACTTCCTTAACCGTGGTTGGAGTCTGCCAATTACGCACGGCTGAAACGCGGTCAATCTCCATCTCCACCCCTGACGCGGACAATCAATGGCCCAGGAAGGAGATGGACTCCTGGAAAAACAGACATTTCTCTGCCTTGACATACAAGTCATGCTCCAACAGCCTACCCAACACTCGACGCACCAGGGCTACATGCTCGGCTCGTGTAGAAGAGTAAACTAGAATGTCGTCAATATACACCACTACACCCTGCCCATGCAAATCCCGGAAGATCTCGTCCACAAAGGATTGGAAGACTGAAGGAGCATTCATTAACCCATATGGCATGACGAGATACTCATAGTGACCCGAGGTGGTACTAAATGCTGTCTTCCATTCATCTCCCTCCCTAATGCGCACCAAGTTGTAGGCGCTCCTGAGATCCAGTTTTGTGAAGAAACGCGCTCCGTGTAATGATTCCGTCATACTCGCAATCAGAGGGAAAGGACGGTAATCAATACACGGGCGCAACCCTCCATCCTTCTTCTTCACAAAAAAGAAACTCGAGGACGCAGGAGAAGTGGAGGGCCGTATGTTTCCCTGTCTCAGAGACTCGGCTATGTATGTCTCCATAGCCGCCGTCTCCTCTTGAGACAGAGGATAGACATGACTACGCGGAAGTGCAGCACCTGCCTGGAGGTCTATCGCACAATCCCCCTGTCTATGAGGTGGCAGTCGCCCTAGTCTTGCTGAACACGAGTGCCAAATCATCATACTCAGGAGGAATGTGCAGTGCGGGCACTTGGTTCGGACTTTCCACCGTGGTCGCCCCTACGGAAACACCTAGACACCGCCCGACACACTGGTCAGACCACTCCTTGAGAGCCCTCTGTTGCCACGAAATGGTGGGGTCATGGGCGATTAACCAAGGAAGCCCCAGCACCACGGGATATGCAGGAGAGTCGATCAGATACAACTGAATGATCTCCTCATGACCCCCCTGCGTCTTCATCTTTAGTGGCGCTGTGACCTCCCTAATCAACCCAGATCCCAACGGACAGCTATCTAGGGCATGGATAGGAAAGGGCACATCTACTGGTAGGAGGGGAATCCCTAACTTAACACAAAAATTACGATCAATAAAATTCCCAGCTGCGCCTGAATCGACTAGCGCCTTATGCTGGGAATGAGATGCAACCTGGGGAAATACTACTGGTATACACAGGTGAACAACAGAGAGCTCTGGGTGAGTTGGGCGCCTACTCACCTGGAATGACTCCCCAGTGCGTGACCTGTTACCTCGATCCCCTGGAGGCCCTCCCCAGCACCTAACCGCAGTGTGTCCTCCACGACCACAGTTGGTGCAGAGGACGGCCTGCCTCCGGATCTCTCTCCTCCTCTCTCTAGCGCCAGCACCCCCGAGCTCCATAGGGCTCGGCTCGGAGGTGCTGGGGGATGGAATGGACGGCCCCAACTCCGGACGTCCGCGGGTAGCCAGCAGGGCATCCAGACGGATTGACATATCCACCAACTGATCGAAGTTTAGATTGGTGTCCCTGCAGGCCAACTCTCGTCGAACGTCCTCTCGCAGGCTGCACCGATAGTGGTCGATGAGGGCCCTCTCATTCCACCCCGCATCCGCTGCTAGAGTCCGGAAGTCCAGGGCGAACTCCTGTGCGCTCCTCTTCCCCTGTCGGAGGTGGAACAGACGCTCCCCCGCCGCTTTACCCTCTGGGGGATGATCGAAAACAGCCCTGAAGCGGCGGAACTCCGCGTAGCTGATGGTGGCGGCGTCTATTCCCCTCCATTTGGCATTGGCCCACTCCAAAGCCTTGCCGGATAGACGGGAGATGAGGGCGGAAACGCTTTCGTATCCCGAGGGTGCCGGGTGTATGGTTGCCAGGTAGAGTTCCACTTGAAGTAGGAACCCCTGACACCCGGCTGCGGTGCCATCATATGCCCTCGGGAGCGAGAGCCGAATCCCACTGGACTCCGGAGATGGTATGATGGGGCTGGCCGATGGTGGTGGTAATGTAGGAGGAGGTGTGGGCAAGCCTCCTCTTTCCCATCGGCGCAGGGTGTCCATCACGTCTTGCATGGCGGAGCCGAGTCGATGGATCATGGCGTCCTGGCTGCTGACCCGATCCTCCAGTGACTTGGGCACCGCCGCTGCTCCTGCTGACTCCATGGGTTGGTATGTTATTCTGTCAAAGGCTGATGTGTATGCGGTGGTGAAGTCAGGCGCAGGACACAGAGGATAAGTAAAGACGACTTTACTCGAACACTAAATACGCATGAAATAAACGTCTCCAACACTGGAGGGAAAAACACCACATGCGTAAATGACACAAAGAGTATAACACAGACACAATGCATCCAAGACACGCGGACAATAACATACAAAGACAAAACACAAAACAGGTGAACTTATACGTGACATAATCAATACAGAATACACAACATGTGTACCCACTAGACATGACAAAACAAACATCGAAAACATCAAGCGGTAGCAGCTAGTACTCCGGGGACGACGAACGCCGAAGCCTGCCCGAGTAAGGAGGAGGAGCGGCATCCGTGACACCCCAACCTTAACCCTTTAACCTAACTCCTAACCCTTATCCCTAGCCTAGCTAACGTTAGCCATAATAAATTGGAATTCGTAACATATCATACGTTTTTGCGAATTTGTATGAATTGCAATTCGTAACATATCATGCAATTTCTAATTCGGAACATATCATACGAAATGGATGAAGGATATCCACAAATTCATACATACCATATGAAACGTAATATATCAGACTAATTGGAGTGTCCCAGATTTACATTTACTACGTTACATCTACCCGAGTCCAGGTTGTTTCATCTGCAGTTCTTGTTGAGACTCGCCAAACTGATGTCAATATCAAAATGTTTTCTTGATATGTCTTCAATTAATTGACCTGGTTTGTATGCACACGTTCAGGCTTATTGAACTATTGACACTGTGATGTCAGATGATAATTATAGTAATAGTATCCAAAGCGACTTACAGTTTACACAGTCAAACATATAGTATGTGTGGCCAATTCAGGAAACAAACCAATAACCTTGGTGTTGACAGCTCAATGCTGAAACCAGTAAGCCTTCAGAGCCACTATGCACTATCTGGTTTATCTCGCCCTGTAGACGTGTCACTGACATGCATCCATTTGACCAGGATTAAAAACCATCGTGGGCGCCCTGGTCCAGTCTGTAAAGAAAATGGTGGACGTGATGATCCTCACTGTTTTTGCCCTGGCCGTGTTCGCACTCATCGGCCTGCAACTCTTCATGGGAAATCTGCGCAACAAGTGTGTCCGATGGCCCATCCTCAACTCGACGGTGTTCGACGATTACAACTCCACCTCGTCGCTTGACGGCACCATGGGTTTCGGCGACATGTCAAATTCCACTATTCCTTTTGATTTCAAGGAGTACATCAGCAATATAGGTGCGTTTGAACCACTGAGACAAGTCATCTGTTCCTCTACTTCAGGCTGATGTGACGTTATGACCAGTACTTTTAGTTTTGTGTTTGATTTGCTCTGTCTTTCGGCTATAGAGAATCACTACTATTTGGAAGGCAGTCTGGATGCTCTTCTCTGCGGAAACAGCTCTGATGCTGGGTATGTTACTTTGTGATAACATAAACGGCACAATGATACAAAGATAAGACATGGAATGTATTTCTTACATTTCGTAAAGCAATATCAGGGTTTTGATGGCAGGATGCACACCACTGTAGCAAACAGAACACAATTGGAAAAGTAGTCAAATGTTATGTAAGCTATACACACAATACACCTATCAGATATAAGTGATGAGCTTGTCTCTGACAAGCAGCATTCTAGATGTTGAGGATTGTGGGGTCAGGGAGGGTGGCCGGCTGTGTCCAAACTGATTCTTCACCACTGCCACCACTGCTGATAGGAAGTGCCCAGAAGGATTCACGTGCATAAAGGCTGGGAGAAACCCCAACTACGGCTACACCAGCTACGACTCCTTCGGCTGGGCCTTCTTGTCCCTCTTCAGACTCATGACGCAGGACTACTGGGAGAACCTGTTCCAACTGGTTAGTACTTATATTATATAGTATATAATGATATACTGTATAATAGGTACACATTTAAGCCTTAAGTTTGACTTTTCCTGGACTTTTTCCTGTAAAAATGTGAGTGCTTTCCATTCCTCGAAAGTGACTGCAGGGAGTGTGCCTAAAGGAATTTCATGAGGCCTACTACAAACTGCATGTTGGCTTACCATTTTGTGTCATCCTCCAAACTTGTCTTTACATGCCTCTCCGTATGCAGACACTTCGAGCAGCGGGGAAGACGTACATGATCTTCTTTGTGCTGGTCATCTTCCTGGGTTCCTTCTACCTCATCAACCTCATCCTGGCCGTGGTTGCCATGGCCTACGATGAGCAGAACGAGGCCACTCTGAAAGAGGCGCAGGATAGGGAGGAGGAGTTTCAGAGGCTTCTGGAGCAATACAGGATCCAAGCCCAGGTCAGGTGACTACTACTGCATATCCTTATGACAAAACAGGCCAAATCAAACTACTTCCTTAGCGCTATGGCAGACTCTGTTAGTGATCCCTCTAAATTCTGGAAAACTGTTAATTCACTGAAGCGGGGTAATTCCTCTACTTCCCTGCCTAAGAAAGTAGTTTTAGACTCCTGCATTATTAATAAAAAAGTTAAGATTTGTGATGCTTTTAATCAGCATTTTATCTCAGCTGGTTTCTTATTTGAAAGAAATGGTGGTCATAATGGTCTTGGCCAGTCAGTTGACTGTTCTACCCACATACAGCCTCCAGTTGCCTCGATGGATGATCAGTCAACCTCACATGACTTCGGAAATGGTAGTCAGGGTTTTTTTGGGGGGCAATTCACAGAAACAAAAGTTATTGCTGCCTTATTATCTATTGACACCAAGAAGTCATTAGGGGCTGACTAATTTGGACCTGTCTTTGCTTAGTATGCAGCGCCCTTATTGCTGGCTCAGAAACACACATTTTTTAATTTAAATTCAGTATCAGGAAATATTCCAAAAGTGTGGAAAGCAGCTTTTGTGGTGCCACTCCATAAGGGTGAGGATAGTAGTGATCTTGATAATTATCAACCCATTTCCAGGCTCCCTTGTCTTGCTAAAATCTTAGAATCAATCATTGGTCAAGAAAAAGCTATGTTATTTCCTATTTATAAATGGTATTCTTAATGTTATTGAATCCGGATTCAGACCTAAACATAGTAACACTACATATACCATGCTTGTTGTAAATTATATTGCAAATGCCATAGATGATAGAACGAGTTGTGCTGCCATGTTTGTAGACTTGTCAAAAGCTTTTGATACTGTAGACCATGTTATTCTGTTGAATAAGCTGTCCTTGAAAGGGTTGGGTAATGATGCTTGCCGATGGTTTCTTAATTATCTCAATAACAGAACTCAGGGCATCAAGGTAGATGGGGTAAAATCTGAGTTCCTTGAGTTACATAAAGGGGTGCCCCAAGGTTTGATACTCGGCCCACTACTGTTTACAATCTATATAAATAACATTGGTAATGCTGTAAAAAATAAAATATATTAATTTGTATGCCGATGATACAGTGTTGTATTCCATTGCTCCATCGGTTGGCCAAGCCTTTTCAAATTTGAAATCAGATTTTCTAGCACTGCAGAGGTCACTATTGGATCTAAAGTTAGTGCTAAATGCAAACAAATCCAAATGCATGCTTTTTTCTAGGCCCAATAAACCAGATTTAAATGAATTTGTAATGACTAGTTTGAACGGTACACAAATTGAGCGAATTCCTTCCTACAAATATCTTGGTATCTGGCTTGATGAAAAACATGTCACTGAGCTGGTGAAGAAGTTGAAGTTCAAGGTTAGTTTCTTTTACAGAAAGAAAGCATGTCTGACTTTTGTTAATAGGAAGGATATTGTCCAGGCCACTTTTATGTCTATTTTAGATTATGGGGATATTATCTATATGCATGCAGCAGCATCTACACTTAAACCACTAGATGCTGTTTTTCATTGTGCCCTTAGGTTTATTACTGGTCATGGTTATAGAACTCACCATTGTTTTTTGTATCAAAAAGTGGGTTGGGCCTCTTTCTATGTAAGGAGAGAGCAGAATTCTCTTCTGTTTATTTACAAAGCACTCATGCAGAAACATGATTAATTAAATGTAGACTTACAAATGACCAAACTCGGTCACAGGCTAGGATAACACCGGAGGTCCCTTCAGTCTCCACAGAGTTGGGTAAAGCTGCTTTTAGTTTTTTTGCTACCTTTATGTGGAACAACTCACAGAGATCTCTGAAATTAGATGTTCTGGTCCCCCTTGGTCAGTTCAGAGAAATGATCAGAGACCTCTATGTTGATAAATGTGTCTGTTTTTCTTAATTTGTAATTTTGTATATTGTATAAATGTTTGATGTATTTATGCAGGGCTCATCTGAAAAAGAGACCCTTGTCTCAGTATGACTTCCCTGTCAAATAAAAGTTTAATAATAATTTAAAAAAGATATGAGAAATTATGACATCAAACTGAACACCGCTATGTAAATTCCATTTTTCAAAGCCTCAGTATATATGGAATAATTTACATATCATTAGGTTGGGGCAATCGACTAATGGTATGCTGAATGGCAACCAAATAGCACAGCTTGAGCTTACTTTCTCTTTGCATCAGGGATGCTGGCCCACTAAACCTAAATTATTATCCTTTACACTTGAGCTGCACAATTAATCGAATTCACATCAAGATATTGACCTGTGCAATAGGGTAAATCAATTTGAATTCAATAACTTTTTGACAGAATCCCTTTTGATTTAAACAAAACTTTCCATACGTGTTTGCCCATGGAAGAAGTGGTCAGAAAGTGACTTTTTGGACCTGAATGCCAAAACATTTAGGGGATAGAGGTGCTCAAAGTTGACCCATTTTGCATACACCACCATATCATGAGACATCCATGTATTCATCATTGGAAAAGATAAACGGTGGAGTTTGATATCATTTAAAAGCTTACAAACAGAGTTGTCAAACTATTTTATAATTTCTTTAAAAAAAATGCTTTTTAATAAAAAATATTACAGTTTTTAACGTCAATTATCTAAACTTGTAAACTCACTCTGGGGTTTTTGTGTTGTGCCCGCCATTGGTTGAAACACAACATGTTCTTGAATACAGGGAGTGTGTAATTTCAATCATAGAACTAGAATTCATAGAAATTGACCTATCCCATCAGACCACTGCAATTTAGCTGGAACACCATTGAATTGAAATGTTAACTTTAATTACTACCACAAAGATGGCCGCCGGTACACCCACCGTTGAATGTCAACTTAAATGGTCATGTCTTCTATTATTTCTATATCTATGATTTCAATAGAAAACCTATGGAGGATTGACAGTATAATTTAAAAAAAGAGATATTCCCATTCAAGTCAACATTCTCTGCGTGGACCGCCAACCATCTTTGTGGTACCATTTGAAAGTTGAAATGTCCATTTGATTCCCATTTTAGTACGTTTGTCAGCCAAAACATGACACCCACCCTATATTCAAGAGAATGTTGTGTATCAAACGATGGCGGGCACAACACAAAAACCTCAGATGATGTAAAATAGGGTCTAAGCTACAACATATGTGAATATGAAAAAAATAGTAGGTAAAGAAAATGACAATTTGTATTAAGAAAAAGTTTTTTCAAGAAATTATAAAAGTTTGACAAACCTGTTTGTAAGCTTTTAAATGATATCAATCTCAACCGTTTATCTTTTCCAGTGATGAAGACATGGATGTCAACTTCGAGCACTTTTGTCTCTTGAATGTTTTGGTATTCAGGTCCAAAAAGTCACTTTCTGAGCACTTCTACAACAGGCAAATACAGTATGCATGGAAGTTTCATTCAAATCAAAAGGGGTGCTGTCAAAAAGTGACTGAATTCAAATGGATTTACCCAATATCCATGTTGCAAGAGATATCCATATCGGAAAGTTTTGAAACACCACTCAGCAGCGTGTAACGTTTAAAAAAAAATTGTTTACTCTGTTTTTCGTCTCTCTCCATCTCTCTTCTTGCGGCTAGTTCCCACACACACCAAGCTTCGACCCCTGTCACTTAAGCAGCACAGATCCTCCTCCTTGCTGTTAGATTCACTTATATTCACTATACGTTTGCATGCTGTTCTGTTAGGTCAAATGCAGTCAACAGATTGTTCCAAACAAGAACAATACTGCTTTCCACTTTGCTTTTTAATAATTATATTTCTATGTTCTGATCTACAATGAGTGTACATAACATTTAGAACATCTGCTCTTTCCATGACATAGACTGAGCAGGTAAATCCAGTTGAAAGCTACACTGTATGATCCCTTATTGATGTCCCCTGAGATGAAGGGGAGAAGACAGGTTAAAGAAGGATTTTTAAACCTTGAGACAGTTGAGACATGGATTGTGTATGTGTGCCATTCTGAGGGTAAATGGGCAACACAACAGATTTAAGTCCCTTTGAACGGGATATGGTAGTAGGTGCCAGGCGCACCGGTTTGAGTGTGTCAAGAACTGCAACACTGGTGGGTTTTTTACGGTCAACAGTTTCCTGTGTGTATCAAGAATGGTCCACCACCCAAAGGACATCCAGCCAACTTGACAACTGTGGGAAGCATTGGAGTCAACATGGGCCAGCATCCCTGTGGAACGCTTGACACCTTGTAGAGCCCATGCCCCAATGAATTGAGGATGTTATGAGGGCAAAAGAGGGTGCAACGCAATATTACGAGGGTGCAACGCAATATTACGAAGGTGTTCCTAATGTTTTGTACACTCAATGTATAGTTTACTTATCCAAGTCAAATCGCAATTGCAATATTTGGTAGCAATTAGAAAAAAAGAATAGTAATTCGAATTTTTGCCCATATCATGCAGCCCTCACTGGCGTAACAAGGTTTCTATGGACTCCCGCAAGGTCAGAGTTCACCCCTAATCAACTACCAATTAATTTTTTTGAATATACAACTGTCCTGTATAGCATACCTGCACCTGCATGACATGAGCCCACCTCACACCCTACCAGCTTGTATAGAAATAAAGTCCCCCTTCAAAACACTAGCTTACTAGGGATTGTTTCATTATGCAGTCTAGCCTATTATCTATAGCTAAAAACCATTTAGCTGCTATATTTAGGTTTTATTAAAATTACACTTCAATTAGGAATAACATTTTTTGCTTAAGGATAAATTCAGCCACTATTTATTGTTTTGTCTGGCTAATAGCCTACACAAATGGGCTGCAATATTCAAGGTAAATTAAATCATATTAAATTCAACTTGAGAGACTGCATTTTTGTGTGCAAATGTTTTCACCACGGCCTGTAGGTCTAGGTTGCGGGTCCGACTGCTGCGGGGATGTTCGGGACGCAAGTGGCAGACCTACTTTACACAATTAACTCTGATTGATTTATCATTGGTGTTCGACAGGAGCAAGCTGACGCTGCTGCTGGAAGTCAGGCGACCCTGACCAGTCGGAAAGAGCTTAGTCATTACTCTGGGTCACACGGGGGTTCTGCGGATGACGAGCAGAGCCTCGGAGATGATGTCATCAAGGACTGTAACGGGAGAATCGTGCCCCGTCTGGCCATCATACCAGTGTCCTCTGAGTCGGAGGTCAGTGTGAACTCTTCTTGCTAATGTTTATCTTATCAGGTCAATGTTCATAGGTCAGAATGGGTCCACAGTTTTGGGAATGCAGTTTGTTTTGTCTCATTCTTTTGATGTGAATTTGTAAATGCAGGTTGTTTTGGCTATTGGTCTTTGTTGTCTTGTATACACAGCCCTTCTATGGTAAGAGTTAAATAACAGCTAAGATATTTAGTGACCAGTGATGATGAGACTTAACCCCCACCCCCCAGTCGTTTCATGATGACGAGGGCAAAGAGGACAGCATGCTCCATCTGGAGCAGCCAGGCCTGAAGAACAGATCGGCCAGTGCTGTTAGTGTTCTCACCGCCGTCATGGATGGTAAGAGAGCGACACATAGTGAAATGATCATGATGACAATGATGATGATGATGCTTGAATGATAGTATTACCATTGTGATATCATCAACAATGACAATGATATCATTTTAATTCAGCATTTGTTTCGGAAGAGAGTAAAATGCACCCCTGCATTGATAATACTGTATACTGAACAAAAATATAAACGCAACATGCAACATTTTCAAAGAAGCCAGTTGCAAGCTCCCTCAAAACTTGAGACATCTGTGGCATTATGTTGTGTGACAAAACTGCACATTTTAGTGTGGCCTTTTGTTGTCCCCAGCACAAGGTGCACCTGTGTAATGATCATGCTGTTTAATCAGTTTCTTGATATGCCACACCTGTCAGGTGGATGGATTATCTTGACAAAGGATCCAATGCTCACTAACAGGAATGTAAACATTTGTGCACAACATTTGAGAGAAATAATATTTTTGTGTGTATGGAACATTTCTGGGATCTTATTTCAGCTCATGAAACATGGGACCAACAGTTTACATGTTGCGTTTATATTTTTGTTCAGTGTATTTTCAGAAATAATTTCCCTATAGATCCATTCATAATGAATACAAATAATTGTTTGTATGTCTACTTCAACTACTAACATATATATGCCATGAAATGTACTGTGTACTGTCTCTGGTCTGTTTCTTGCCTGTGAGACAAACACAACTGTCCACAGTAGGAGACATGTCAAGTCCCCTCAGGCAAGTTTAGAAATACACTAGGCTTAGTTGGGAGTGGATGCAGTCTTCGCTCTAATGTGAAGTGTAATTGCCTAGCTTATCATGTAGTTGTAGACATGGCCTTCTGACCCCCCCCCCCCCCCCCCCCTCATTACAGTAGCATTGTCTGAAGTATGTCACACACAGAGCAGCCAATCACATTGTGTGTGTGAGGGGGGATAGTGCCCTGTTAATGTACAGTTGCATGCCCTCTTGGTGCTAAGCTTGAGCTATTTCAGCCTTCCGGGGCGGGCTGGCACCACAGGCATGAATTCTGGTGTTACCCTCCGTTGCATTTCATTGAAATGTTTTTAGTATAGAACAGAAAGATTGCCTATATTTGTACACATTTAACGACACGAATGTCACCAATGCATGTTGAAACATTGAACTAGGGCAATGAATGGCAAATGTCCCAAATGCTGTCAATCATCCACTCATACCCTCCTGTCACTTTTTAGAGCAGGACATTTTGCTCTAATGTCAGATCAATATTCTAGGGTTGTCTTAGTAGTCTTGGATAACTTTGTTTTGTTGTCTTTTTTTACTTCATAACAACGGCAAGAGGAATGAATTGCAGAGTTTCCAGCCATAATACTAAAGCATATTCATTTTTTGTTTTGTTATTATGTTATATTAAAACATTATTATTGAACTGGTCATCTAAACCTCTCCTCTCTTTCTAATAGAGCTGGAAGGCGCCCAGAAGCCTTGTCCGCCCGGCTGGTACAAGTTTGCCGACATCTTCCTGAAGTGGGACTGTTGTGTGCCCTGGGTATGGTTGAAGAAGTGGTTGCTCTTTATTGTGATGGACCCCTTCGTGGACCTAGGCATCACCATCTGCATCGTGCTCAACACCCTCTTCATGGCCATGGAGCACTACCCCATGAGCCCAGAGTTTGACCACATGCTCTCCGTGGGGAACCTGGTAAGAACCTTTAAAGGGGTAGTTTAGCGGCAGATGTTAGGTTTGTAAAGCTAGCTGTATTGCTTGCTCAAACTTGCGTTGCTGCTGTAGCTTCCTTATTATAACTGCGTGACATATCATTTCAGGTGTCCTGTTGTTCACTTGAATCGGATATTACTTAGTCTGTTCTTGTGTTGATGAGAACACTTAACATCTGAGTTATGGTTTTTGACATGATGCATCCAAATAACAACTTGTTTATATTTCTGATATCAATCCCCCGCTAGGTTTTCACTGGGATCTTCACAGCAGAGATGGTCTTCAAGCTTTGCGCCATGGATCCCTACTACTACTTCCAGGTCGGCTGGAACATTTTCGACAGTATCATTGTCACGTTCAGTCTGGTGGAGTTAGGTCTAGCCAATGTCCAAGGCCTGTCCGTTCTCAGGTCTTTCCGTTTGGTAAGACACACTGATTTCCAGTCAATTCATGTCTGTGAAATAGTATTCATAGATTTACATTATTGTACTCATTTAGTTTACCGGGACAATGCACAATAAGGAACTTGCATCAACAGCACATAAAGCCATGAAAAATGCAATTTGTGTGTTGTCTGTCTGTCTGTCTGTCTGTTAATGCACTGTGTGTTGGAGGTAGCTGCGTGTCTTCAAACTAGCCAAGTCGTGGCCCACGCTCAACATGCTGATCAAGATCATTGGCAACTCTGTGGGCGCTCTGGGAAACCTGACCTTGGTACTGGCCATCATCGTCTTCATCTTCGCCGTGGTGGGCATGCAGCTCTTCGGCAAGAGCTACAAGGAATGCGTGTGTAAGATTGCCACCGACTGTGAGTTGCCGCGTTGGCACATGCACGACTTCTTCCACTCATTCCTCATTGTGTTTCGCATCCTGTGCGGGGAGTGGATCGAGACCATGTGGGACTGCATGGAGGTGGCCGGAGCCGGGATGTGCCTGGTGGTCTTCATGATGGTCATGGTCATCGGAAACCTGGTGGTGAGTGCAGCAGAAACCCAACTGTAACCCTAATCCCTAAACCTAACCCTCATCCTTAAAGCTGAGATCTGCAGTAGTGGGAAATAGCGCCATGGACACCCCTCCAACGTTGTTATTGTTTTTGTTGCCGAGCTCAGGAGCGTCGCGCAGCATGGTAAAAAAAATTGCAGTGCATATTGTGCTCTTCTATTGCATGTGCAATGATGTCAGAGGGGAAAAAACAGTGTTTGTTGTTTTCAGTAACTTCTTTGTTGTTGTAATATCGCAAACGGACGTAGCTGTTTCACCATAGAGTCGATGCCCACTCCCGCAAGGACATCTAATTAGCGTAATACAAAAATCCCCATAAAATCTGTCTGTTTATGCTAGATATAACTGTTTTTGTATGGGCTGCGTCTCAACCCACCATATCCGCTGATGTCGGCCTTCCGCATCTGCGGTGGAAGGTGGCAGAGCTACAGTTGTGTTTGTCAGACCAGGAAACGTCCCGTAAATCGGTTTTCTTACGAAAATGTCCACAGAGTCCAAATGGTTTGGGCTAGAAACTATAATATGACCCACTATGGAAAGCTGAGACTCTTGAATACCAAGAGTGTGCAAAGCTGTCATCAAGGCAAAGGGTGGCTACTTTGAAGTATCTCAAATATATATTTAGATTTGTTTAACACTTTTTTGGTTACTACATGATTCCATATGTGTTATTTCATAGTTTTGATGTCTTCACTATTATTCTACATTGTTAAAAATTGTAAAAATACAGAAAAACCCTTGAATGAGTAGGTGTGTCCAAACTTTTGACTGGTCCTTTACATATCGGTTGTTTTGCTCTACGAAGCTCACAAGCCTCACAAGACTCGTCTGAATGTAACCTAGTACCAGGCTGAAAAATGTATGGAAGTGAATAGGGAAGATCCACATAAAATATATACGGGTCATTGCACTGTAAAATAATAGATATATATTTTTTCTCCTGAGCTTACTTACATCTCTCAGATATAGGATAGACACTTCAAAACAACACTTTTGCCAGACAGATTTTAAATCCATTAAGTATTTAGAAACATACAGCATCTCCGGTTAGCATTTCTTGGAGCATGTATCAATGATAGTGGAAACGGCTGGTGTTTAATGCTGTGCTCTTGAAAATGAAAATGTCCTACAAAACATCTCCAAAACATTTATTGTCTTTGGGAATTATACATATGAACTGATATTGTTAATCCTTAATATATTCTCTATCATATGTGTAAATGGTGTCTTATCTGGTTACGTAAAGACTGGCTGTTGTATGGAAGAATAAATAGATATTCAATGCGAGGGCACAATAAATCTTTTAAGTATAGTGAACATTCTAGAGATCCTAGATAATGCCTCTCAACAACACACACAGTCCCCAACTGTGAACATCTGTCACTACTGTCAACTTGTAAATCTCATTAACAGTTATCCGAAATCTCTGCAGACCTAACGATTATAGTATTGTAATGCTCAGTCAATCCAGGAGATATTGTGCACACAGCTGATAGCGAGTCTATTTCTGGCCCCCTAGAGACACCAAGAACAGACAGACACACTACATGGCCAAAAGTATGGGGACACCCCTTCAAATTAGTGGATTCGGCTATTTCAGCCACACCCGTTGCTGACAGGTGTATAAAATCAAGCACACAGCCATGCAATCTCCATTGACAAACATTGGCAGTAGAATGACCTTACTGAAGAGCTGTGACTTTCAACGTGGCACCATCATAGGATGCCACCTTTCCAACAAGTCAGTTTGTCAAATTTCTGCCCTGCTAGAGCTGCTCTGGTCAAATGTTAGTGCTGTTATTGTGAAGTGGAAACGTCTAGGGGCAACAACGACTCAGCCGCGAAGTGGTAGGCCACACAAGCTCACCGAACGGGACCGACGAGTGCTGAAGCACGTAGCGAGTAAAAATACATTTGACCTTTTGGAATTACCAATGAGGAGTTAATCAACACACCATATAAGAGTAGATAATACAGTGAGGGAAAAAAAGTATTTGATCCCCTGCTGATTTTGTACGTTTGCCCACTGACAAAGACATGATCAGTCTATAATTTTAATGGTAGGTTTATTTAATCAGTGAGAGACAGAATAACAACTAAAAAATCCAGAAAAACGCATGTCAAAAATGTTATGAATTGATTTGCATTTTAATGAGGGAAATAAGTATTTGACCCCTCTGCAAAACATGATTTAGTACTTGGAGGCAAAACCCTTGTTGGCAATCACAGAGGTCAGACGTTTCTTGTAGTTGGCCACCAGGTTTGCACACATCTCAGGAGGGATTTTGTTCCACACCTCTTTGCAGATCTTCTCCAAGTCATTAAGGTTTCGAGGCTGACGTTTGGCAACTCGAACCTTCAGCTCCCTCCACAGATTTTCTATGGGATTAAGGTCTGGAGACTGGCTAGGCCACTCCATGACCTTAATGTGCTTCTTCTTGAGCCACTCCTTTGTTGCCTTGGCCGTGTGTTTTGGGTCATTGTCATGCTGGAATACCCATCCACGACCCATTTTCAACGCCCTGGCTGAGGGAAGGAGGTTCTCACCCAAGATTTGACGGTACATGGCCCCGTCCATCGTCCCTTTGATGCAGTGAAGTTGTCCTGTCACCCCCAAAGCATAATGTTTCCACCTCCATGTTTGACGGTGGGGATGGTGTTCTTGGGGTCATAGGCAGCATTCCTCCTCCTCCAAACACGGCGAGTTGAGTTGATGCCAAAGAGCTCGATTTTGTTCTCATCTGACCACAACACTTTCACCCAGTTCTCCTCTGAATCATTCAGATGTTCATTGGCAAACTTCAGATGGCCCTGTATATGTGCTTTCTTGAGCAGGGGGACCTTGTGGGCGCTGCAGGATTTCAGTCCTTCACGGCGTAGTGTGTTACCAATTGTTTTCTTGGTGACTATGGTCCCAGCTGCCTTGATCATTGACAAGATCCTCCCTTGGGTTGATTCCTCACCGTTCTCATGATCATTGCAACTCCACAAGATGAGATCTTGCATGGAGCCCCAGGCAGAGGGAGATTGACAGTTATTTTGTGTTTCTTCCATTTGCGAATAATCGCACCAACTGTTGTCACCTTCTCACCAAGCTGCTTGGCAATGGTCTTGTAGCCCATTCCAGCCTTGTGTAGGTCTACAATCTTGTCCCTGACATCCTTGGGGAGCTCTTTGGTCTTGGCCATGGTGGAGAGTTTGGAATCTGATTGATTGATTGCTTCTGTGGACAGGTGTCTTTTATACAGGTAACAAACTGAGATTAGGAGCACTCCCTTTAAGAGTGTGGTCGTAATTTAAGCTCTTACCTGTATAAAAGACACCTGGGAGCCAGAAATCTTTCTGACTGAGAGGGGGTCAAATACTTATTTCCCTCATTAAAATGCAAATAAATTTATAACATTTTTGACATGCGTTTTTCTGGATTTTTTTCTTGTTTTTCTGTCTCTCACTGTTCAAATAAACCTACCATTAAAATTATAGACTGATAATTTCTTTGTCAGTGGGCAAACGTACAAAATCAGCAGGGGATCAAATACTTTTTTCCCTCACTGTATGTAATAAGAAGAGGGACTCCCATTTACAGTATTTGGAAACCCCAGAAGGAGGGATCTAGTTCTGCGCTAGACAGTACTTGAAACACCATAATGGTGCTTTCAATCTTTTCTGGGTTAGTTCTCCAGTCTTTGGCAAGGTGTTGCACAACTCTTGATTATGAGATGTTACAACATACCTTGTCATGTTTCAGAACACCTCAGGATGAACGTTTCAGTACACCTAAAATCTCTTCCAATACCCTCACAACCAACTGTTTCAATACTTCAGTAAAGTTAAGGTCTCGTCTCCTTTAGGGTGGTGGCAGCTCAGTTGCCACTAGATTTAGTGTTACAAGGCACTTCATTTTAACAGTGTAGTGTCTCGGTTTATATGCTGTTTGTCTGGAAGACACAGCAGCCATAGGCAGTGGGGGACTTGGACGGGGGTTGAGGGGGTGTGAGACACAAACAAATCTATGTTAGTGTTGGCACGGGCGCGAGTCCCCAGTGCTTTTGTTAGCTCGTCGAGATGAGAATAGCCATTTCCACTTGATTAATAACCACCAGAGAGAGGAAATGCATTTGGCCTCACGCCGCAAATATTGTGCTTGTGTGATCAGCTGCTAACAGCTCATCTGCATGTCCTTGTTCTGGAAGACGAGGAGTAATGTCAGGGACAGGGCCTCCCATCCTGCACGCCATCATAGGTGGAGTTGATTGTCTTAGCCGCCACTTGTGGTTCAATGCAATACCAAGGCATCTAAGCCAACCACTCAGTAGTATCGTGTCCCTCTACGAATCCCGTAATCATATTACACAATATTATAACATACCAGATATGAAACAATATACTATATTTTCATTTTTATTAGGGCTGTCAAACGATTTGCTGTGATTAATCGCAATTGAATTTGCTCAAAGTGAGCTGTAGATTAATAATAATTTATTTAACTTTAATTCACAAAGTGCATAAAAAGCAAAACAAACAACAAAAAACAAATGTACGATTTGTTATACAAAAAATCTTACAATAATATTTTTTCTAAAGTGTCGGGTAGCATAATTAGGTAAATTCATAAAGAACATTTTATTTAACCTCAATGTAGGGTGTCCAATCAAAAGTGCATATTTTGACCAATGGGTAAAATAATAGGTCATTTGTGTATATAGTGCTCTAAGAAAACCAATGGTCCAAACCTCATGTCTCTATCATAATCCGTTCAAAAGTTATTGGAGTGTTTACCCTTGTAGGATGGCCAGAATTATGGTGATTAAATCAATGGCGGCCAGAGGAAAAAAAGTGTCAGCTAGGCTGGATTCTGTGAAAGAATTAAGGCTACTGGATACCTGACATACTTACTTTCCCGATGAACTCCTCTTTCTTCTTGAATTCACAGGACATAAAACAATAAGGAGGTAAGACAGACGTCGATTTTGAGACATGACATGTAGTATTTTTATATTTTAGTATAAGTTTTTCATATTAATTAGAAATTCCTGTTCTTTTTTTGAATATTTCTCACAAAAACAAGTAACTCTGTGAAATGGCAATGGAGCACTAAGTGTATACCAAGCTTTTTATTTTCAAAGCCTTTTACATTTAATTCAGCTTGTGTCATGGTAATTTAGCTTTTTGTTACCAGCATAAAACAACTTTGAAGATGACCACCACAAAATGTAAAATCTTCAAAAGTTGTTACGAGTAGCCGGCACCTCTATGTCAACAGTGCTTGTTGCTTATTATGGGATGGATTAGGTTACGAAATCAGACTTTTTGGATATAATCTTAATGATATGTTAGAGGAAGAACCCACTGAACGATTCAGAACATGAATAATCATATTTGCCTTGTTAAAATGTATTTTATAACATAAGGAAGTTAAATTTCATCACCAAAGTGTGTTTTCACCACCTCTGGGTAGAGTTGGTGGACACCCTACTCAATGTCAACTTGTTTTTACATTGCATTGTAGATTTTATCTGTATAGATTATGTATTTTGGATGTTTTCAGTGTATTTTCAACGCTTTCAGACAATGCGATTAATCATGATAAAAAATAATTTATGCACTTAAATGATAAAAAGTTTAGTTAAAATCCTTGAGAGTCTGTTGACGCACTCATGCGTCAATCTAAGTAACATAGAAAAATCTCCATCAAAATCTGTCAGTTTAAGGCTGCAGGGCTGCTTCTCAATCCACCGCATCCGCCTATGTCAGCCTTCCGCATCTGCTGTGGAAGGTTGCCGAGCTACAGCGGTGTTTGTCAAATGCAATATCAAAGAATTTTGTAAAAAAATAAAAGATACCAAAAGGGTTCCTAAAATTATAAATCAAATACCTAAATGATCCATGGTATGACCATCTTAAAAACATTCCATATGTTAGCTTAGAGGTTTTAACTGATTAATTGTGACAGCCCTACATTTTTATATACTGTATATACAGTATAACATGTGGGGCATACAGTACATTAAACAATAGATAAAGCTCATGAAGCTAGTAGGCTTTCAAGCAGTATTAACTAAAAAGCAGGCCTTAATTTGCATAAAAAACAAGTGCACAAAAGGTGCAAACAAGGACGTGTCAATTAACAACTACATGAAACATCAAGAACACTGATCAATGAATCAAAATGGCTGTTTGACTAGGACATCAGTGGCCGAAATGGTACCCAAAACAAATGTTTTTATTAAGTGAATTCAAGTTACGTTTTTATTGTCATGTGCACTAGTACAGTGAAATGCATTTGTTGCTTGTACTTTCCCAACAATGCAGTAGTGCAAAAAAAAAGTCAAGTTGAACAAAAACACACAAGAAATATAATTGCTTTTCTGTTTCCTTCTTCAACGTGATAACATTTTGTACTCACGTTTTCATTGACGCATACTTTCTTGGATTGTTTTGGAGAGTTTCATCTGAGCGTTTGGTGTGCTCTTACCTGTCTGGGTTCGTGAAGGATCCGAATACAGGGGATGTGCCTGGAAACTTGCCTGTTTTTATACTTGACCAAAGAGTTTGTAAGAGGGCACACCTGCCACGATTGCCCTCTCTCCACCTCCATGCCTCAGAATGGGGGAATTCTGAACAGTACGGCAGCAAAATGTTTGAAGTTCACATTTTGCCTTTATTAGAAACAGTTGTTTTCTGATATGGGGGCCCACGTTCCTTACATGGTACGTAGCTGGGTGGTTGAGTGGGTAATGTTCTAAACAGAATTTGCCGTCTTACTGCCTCAGCAGTCGGGGGTTCAATTCCCGCTTCCACCTGTCCAACTTTCACTCCTTCTCTGTCTCATCCTGTTTATAATCTGTCTAAACAAAGCACAAAAAATAGTGGAATTTCACAAAAAATATTCAGACTTCAGATAAGTTGATTTAACATGTCATTTTAAAAAAATTGACTTGAGTCCATGTTAAGTCTACTTATCTCAAGTCTGAATCGGGCCCCATGTGTTCAGTGTAACAAGGTTTGGTTCAGCACACCAGTTTATTCCTGTGGAATAAGGCAGTCTTTTGACAAGCAGGAGACCTGGGTTCACATCCACCTCCTCACATGAAAACCAGTGATGAAGGCCCACTTTACACGTCACCTCATGTTACCTCTGCTATAACTTACATAACCCTTGTATGAGAGACACAGTCTGCCAAAACATATTGTTTGAGTTTTGATGCTGCCTTGTACCTGCACTAAAACCCCCAAAAGTGTTTTCACAAGCCGGGGGGGGGGGGGGGGGGCTTCTATCTATTTAAGTCAAATGACTTGAGCCAGCAAACAGTGGTTCTGACCTTGGGTATATGCTAAGACCCAGCTCAAGTGAGCCCCCTGGCACGGACGGAACAAACACGGACAGCTGAGCGGCGCACAGCGAGAGGGGCTCAGGGATCAGATCCAAGAGAGAGACGTCTGCAGAATGCATCACTAATTGATAGGGAAGGTAATCAAATGTCCCATCGCATGAACACGTGCTATATGGAATATGGGGGATGTTCCTTTGAGTACAGTTGCGACTTACGAGTATAGTAACGATGGGCCGCTCTGAGTGGCAGCCTACAATTTATTTTATGGTTGGTCATCATCTCGATTTGAACTCTTTATTGTCTTCTCCCCTCTAGCCCGTTTCTCCCCCGACGTCTCTCCTCCAAGCCCTGTATTTTCTCCAAGAGACTATTTCTACCATTCTCAGTCCAGTCCCCCCCCCCAGTCCTTTTTTTCTTCGTGGCGTTATATTAGCCCCAAGTTAGACCTTTGCCAGCCCTATGTCTCAACGCACTGTGTGATTCCCTCCACAGCCCTATCCACCGCTACCATAGCCCTTAATTTCTAGCCCTTTCACTGGGCCAGTTTTCGAGCCCCTCATCTCTGCCTTTACCCCCATTTACCACCTGTCCAGCTGATCCCCTAGGCCTTGTGTTTCTGCCCCTCTCAGCCCTTTCCCAGTACCTCCGGCTGATTCACAGCTCCTTACAGAGGAATGAGAGAGATGTGAGAGATCAGCCTTGCCCAGTCCACCATGTAACCATGATCTAAATCTTAATCTGGGAAATAGGAACCCAGATATGGACTAACAGGGTTTAGACACTAAAGATAGCCACCTCCACAAGAGCCGCAGACAACATAATATTGATGCGCCGTCACCACAGAACGACATCAACTTTATATGCGTTATGTATATGAGAAGCCCGGGTTTATGATTAAACAGATTAACTTTATTTTACTGCACGAGGCTTGGTGACACAGTTGTCTTGCTGACGCACGTGACTCCCAAACGTTCCTGTTTGGGAGGCACGTTAAAATAGTGTATGGTTTGCTTCTCTTCATTATCTCTGTCTCTCTCTTTCCCAATTTAGAGTATGTTTTACATTAACATTTTAGTCATTTAGCAGATGCTCTTATCCAGAGCGACTTACAGTTAGTGCATTCATCTTAAGATAGCTAGGTGGGACAACCACATATCACAGTCATAGTAAGTATATAGTATTTTTCATCAATAAAGTAGCTATCAGCAAAGTCAGAGCTAGTTTAAAAAAAAGGTTAAGTGCGCGTGTGATGGGTGATTTGAAGGAGTCAGGCGCAGGAGGGTAAATCACAAAATACAGAGTTTATTCCGGAATACAGAGTTACGCAGGATAGCGTCAAACAGTCCAGTGCGCAAAACAGGCGCACTGGAACAAAACAGTGTGTGTAATAGACAAGACAAAACAAATGGAATGATGAGATGAGATGCGGCAGTGGCTAGAAGGCCGGTGACAACGAACGCCAAAGCCTGCCCGAACAAGGAGAGGAGGCAGCTTCGGAGAAAGTCGTGACAGAGTGTTAGTTCACAAAAGACAATATTTTAAGATACTCTTTGAAGAGGTAGGGTTTCAGATGTTTTCGGAAGATGGGCAGGGACTCTGCTGTTCTAGCTTCAGGGGAAAGCTGGTTCCACCATTGGGGTGCCAGGACAAAGAAGAGCTTGGACTGGGCTGAGCGGGGAAAGCAAACCCCTGCAACTTATCCAGAATGCTGCAGCCTGCCTGGTCTTCAACCTTCCCAAGTTCTCCCATGTCACCCCGCTCCTCCTCACACTCCACTGGCTTCCAGTCGAAGCTCGCATCCACTACAAGACCATGGTAGTTGCCTACGGAGCAGCCCCTTCCTACCTTCAGTGTATGCTCAAACACTACACCCCAACCCGAGCACTCAGTTCTGCCACCTCTGGTCTCTTCCAGAGGTGGCCCCTTCTCAAAGAATGCCTTTCGTGAACTAACACTCGCACCTAACTTTTACTAGCTCTGACTTTGCTGATAGCTAGCTACTTTGAGGAAAAATGTACTTACTATGACTGTCATATGTGGTTGTCCCATTTAGCTATCTTAAAATGAATGCACTAACTGTAAGTAGCTCTGGATGAGAGCATCTACTAAATAACTAAAATGTCAATGTCAAACTATTCTAAAGTGGGAAAGAGAGAGAGATAATGAAGAGAAGCAAAGCTAAGCTATTTTGACTTTCCGTTTGGGAGGCACATGCATCACCAAGGCAACTGCGTCACCAAGCCTCTTGCTGGAAAATGAAGTTAGTCTGTTTAATCATAAACCCGGGCGTCTCATATACACTACCGTTCAAAAGTTTGGGGTCACTTAGAAATGTCCTGTTTTTGAAAGAAAAGCAATTTTTTTGTCCATTAAAATAACATCAAATTGATCAGAAATACAGTGTAGACATTGTTAATGTTGTAAATGGCTATTGTAGCTGTAAACGGCTGATTTTTTATGGAATATCTACATAGGCGTACAGAGGCCCATTGTCAGCAACCATCAGTCCTGTGTTCCAATGGCACATTGTGTTTGCTAATCCAAGTTTATCATTTTAAAAGGCTAATTGATCATTAGAAAACCCTTTTGCAATTATGTTAGCACAGCTGAAAACGGTTGTACTGATTAAAGAAGCAATAAAACTGGCCTTCTTGAGACTAGTTGAGTATCTGGAGCATCAGCAATTGTGGGTTCGATTACAGGCTCAAAATGGCCAGAAACAAATAACTTTCTTCTGAAACTTGTCAGTCTATTCTTGTTCTGTGAAATGAAGGCTATTCCATGCGAGAAATTGCCAAGAAACTGAAGATCTCGTACAACGCTGTGTACTACTCCCTTCACAGAACAGCACAAACTGGCTCTAACCATAATAGAAAGAGGAGTGGGAGGACCCGGTGCACAACTGAGCAAGAGGACAAATACATTACAGTGTCTAGTTTGAGAAACAGACGCCTCACAGGTCCTCAACTGGCAGCTTCATTAAATAGTACCCGCAAAACACCAGTCTCAACGTCAACAGTGAAGAGGCGACTCCGGGATGTTGACCTTCTAGGCAGAGTTGCAAAGAAAAAGCCATCTCAGACTGGCCAATAAAAATAAAAGATTAAGATGGGCAAAAGAACACAGACACTGGACAGAGGAAGATTGGAAAAAAGGGTTATGGACAGACGAATCGAAGTTTGAGGTGTTCGGATCACAAAGAAGAACATTTGTGAAACACAGACCAAATGAAAAGATGCTGGAGGAGTGCTTGATGCCATCTATCAAGCATGGTGGAGGCAAGGTAATGCTATGGGGGTGCTTTGGTGGTGGTAAAGTGGGAGATTTGTACAGGGTAAAAGGGATCTTGAAGAAGGAAGGCTATCACTCCATTTTGCAACACCATGCCATACCCTGTGGACGGCGCTTGATTGGAGCCAATTTCCTCCTACAACAGGACAATGACCCAAAGAACAGCTCCAAACTATGCAATAACTATTTAGGGAAGAAGCAGTCAGTTGGTATTCTGTCTATAATGGAGTGGCCAGCACAGTCACCGGATCTCAACCCTATTGAGCTGTTTTGGGAGCAGCTTGACCGTATGGTACGTAAGAAGTGCCCATCAAGCCAATCCAACTTGTGGGAGGTGCTTCAGGAAGCAAAGGGTGAAATCTCTTCAGATTATCTCAACAAATTGCTGCAAATGGAGGATTCTTTGACGAAAGTTTGAAGGACACAATTATTATTTAAATAAAAAATCATTATTTCTAACCTTGACTACATTTCCTATGCATTTTGCTATATTTCCTATTCAAACTCATTTCATGTATGTTTTCATGGAAAACAAGGACATTTCTAAGTGACCCCAAACTTTTGAACGGTAGTGTACATAATACATATAATGTTGATGTCATTCTGTGGTGAGGATCACTGGTGGAAAAAGTACCCAATTGTCATACTTGAGTAAAAGTAAAGGAACCTTAATAGAAAATGACTCAAGCAGGGGCGGCCTGTTCAATAGGGCGATATGGGCGACGCACTGCCAAACGGGAAAAGGAAGGGATTTTTTTTCTAATCAATTATATCACGGCAACAGTAGTTATCAGTGTTGTAATCTATACGTCTGATCTGCCACAGTGCCACACTGCCACTAAATGTCGAATCAGGCTAAAGTCGTGCTTCAAATGCCCCCCCCCCCCCTTTTGGGGCGATTTCAGTCAGGTTGAAAATCGCCCAGAAGTCTGTCATAGACTCCCATGTAAAATCTATTTTTTTCAAATTTCAGAGCCTTCAATACAATCTCAATGGGTGTCTGTGGGCTTGCACTTACGCGCTTTCGTCATACGTTACGTAACCATGAACGTAACTGAGAAAAGAGCGGATTGTTTGAAAGAAGTTCCTTTTTGTCGGCGAACAAATGAAGATAAATTGGCAACGAAACAATTAGGACCTCCCAGACCAAATTTAATAATTCAACAGGTTTCTACTAAAGGCGGAAAGTCCTACACCCGAGGATTTTCCAAAAATTGGTACGAACGAAAAAAGACATTGCCACTCACTCAACTGGATGAGGGATACAGGCTAGCTGTCCGCCGCCACAACGATGAGGTTAGTGTTGATAATCACAAGTTTACTGGAGAACTGAGACCAAGTAGAGACTTTGGACAGGGTGGATATGGTATAATAAAGGCAGTTTATTCAGAGGTAAAGATATCTGGAATCGCGTTCACGGACCCGTTCGTCAAACTCTTAGGGAGCTATAAATTAAGCCCCATTACTTACCATATCAGATAAGAGAAATTGCTGCAGCTACATATATTTTACATCCTGGCCCTACATAGTTCACTATTTGCATCACTTACCAAAATATTACATGTGGTCATATATGCTTGGAAAGTGGAGATGCCATAGAACGTCAAAAAAGTAAACATTGCTGGAGACACATTGCCGTTTTGGAGAAGACATCGCGTTTGCTAGCGAAGAGATTTGTTGTGGCAAATGAACTTGGGCTGGGAATTGCCAGGAACCTCACGATAAGATATATGCATCAGCATTGCGAGTCTCATGATTCTATACGTATTGCGATTCGATACTGTGATTTTATTGCGCACCATATGTCTGTTGCAGAGGGATCAGAAAGCCATGAGAACGAGTTTTGATCAGTCATGGAAATAAAAGTGCTGAAAACAAATTGGCTCCCAATGTGAAAAGATTGAGAACAAGCTATGAAGGAACAATAATGGTGTTTTGGTGCAGGTACAGCCAACTAGCGCTAAAATATTGCGATATTGTCAATACAGTATATCGTAAAGTATCACTATGTAACTCGATTTCTTTCACCCCAATCCCTCAAATTAACGGTAAATAACTGAATTGTTTGCCCCACATTTAGCTAAGATGATTAGCTAGCCAGCTAAAAGGTTTTATTTAGTTAGCAGTCGCATCTACAATAGTTTACTGTCAATAACATGTCTCCAAAAATGACGTGGTGTCTCCAATTGTGTTGACATTTTACAATTGCGATGCGCATCCATGAGTATCCACTTTCTGTAGCTCAGCTGGTAGAGCATGGTGCTTGTAACGCCAAGGTAGTGGGTTCGATCCCCGGGACCACCCATACACAAAAATGTATGCACGCATGACTGTAAGTCGCTTTGGATAAAAGCGTCTGCTAAATGGCATATTATTATTATTATTATTATTATCTGAAGAGAGCCCCGAAACATTGTGTGCAGACATTTTATGCAATAAATGAAGTAGGTTGAATCTAGTAGTTCTGATCTTCTGATTGGTCCTGATGAGTTGGGCGAGGTCCCCTCCAGGCTACTGTCACTGTTGCATTGGCTCTGAGTCGGGTTCTCTGTCTTCAAATGTTCAGCCTAAGAGAGAGGATTTTTGTGTGTGTGTGTGTGTGTGTGTGTTTAACAGTGATGATGTGTGTGTGTGTGTGTGTGTGTGTTTAACAGTGATGATGTGTGTGTGTGTGTGTGTGTTTGTGTGTGTGTGTGTCCTCAGAGCAAGAACTCGTGAGTTGGAAGAACTGAGAGGCCTATGGCGTGGGTGTTGTCCTTGGCCACCTGCTGACAAGGCTGACAAGATAGGACCCTTTTGTCCATTGTTATTGGATAGGAACAGAACTTATAACCAGCTCCTGACCTAAATAGTTCTTAGCACAACATTTTACTCAACATATCATATTCCATATTCACTATAACAAATATATTTACTACGACATTAGCAAGAACCGCCACATCCTCAGCCGGCTAATCCAGTGTGTGAAGTTTTGCGGAGTGTTTGAGTTAGCTTTGCGAGGCAAAGATGAAACTGAGGGCTCCACCAACCCTAGTAAGCCAACACTTTTGAGATCAGTCAATAAATGCTTCTGGTATTGACTTATATGCTGCCCCTGTCTTCATGTTGTTGCTGGACATATCTTTTTTAAAATGTGTGTAGGTCACCTAAATCATAAGAAAAATTGCCCCTCCTGAGAATTGTTTCAGGAGCCGCCACTGGACTCAAGTAAAAGTGAAAGTCACCCAGTAAAATACTACTTGAGTAAAAGTCTAAAAGTGTTTGGTTTTAAATATACTTAAGTATCAGAAGTAAATGTAATTGCTGAAATATACTTAAGTATCAAAGTAAAAGTACAAGTATAAATCATTTCAAAGTCCTTATATTAAGCAAACCAGGCCTCATAATTGTCTTGTTTTTTTTAATTTACGGATAGCCAGTGGCACACTCCAACACTTAGACATCATTTACAAATTAAGCATGTGTTTAGTGAGTCTGTCAGATAAGAGGCAGTAGGGAAGACCAGGGATGTTCTCTTAATAAGTGTGTGAATTGAAGACCATTTTCTTGTCCTAATCATTCAAAATGTAACGAGGGTGTATCGAGGGTGTCAGGGAAAATGTATGGAAGTAAAAGTAAAAGTTGTAAAGTAAAGTATAGATACCCCAAAAAACTACTTAAGTAGTACTTTCAAGGATCTTTACTTAAGTACTTTACACCACTGATGGTGACGGCGCATCAATATTATGTTGTCTGCGGCTCTTGTGGAGGGGGTGGGAGGGCCAAGAGACCAGAGGTGGCAGAACGGAGTGCTCGGGTTGGGGTGTAGGGTTTGAGCATAGCCTGAAGGTAGGAAGGGGTCAGTTCCTCTTGCTGCTCTGTAGGCAACTACCATGGTCTTGTAGTGGATGCGAGCTTCGACTGGAAGGCAATGGAGTGTGAGGAGGAGCGGAGTGACATGGGAGAATTTGGGAAGGTTGAACACAAGGCGTGCTGCAGCGTTCTGAATAAATTGCAGGGATTTGATGGCACAAGCGGGGAGCCCAGCCAACAGTTAGTTGCAGTAGTCCAGGCGGGAGATGACAAGTGTCTGGATTAGGACCTGTGCCGCTTCCTGTGTGAGGTAGGGTCATATTCTATGGATGTTGTAGAGCATGAATCGGCAGGAGTGAGTCACTGCTTTGATCTTTACAGAAAATGACAGGGTGTTGTCCAGGGTCACGCCAAGGTTCTTTGCACTCTGGAAGGGGGACACGTGGAGTTGTCAACCGTGATGGAGAGGTCTTTGAGTGGGCAGGCCTTCCCCGGGAGGAAGAGCAGCTCCGTCTTGTCGAGGTTGAGCTTGAGGTGGTGGGCCGACATCCAAGCTGAGATATCTGCTAGGCACGCATAGATATGTGTCTCCACTTGGGTGTCAGAAGGTGGGAAGGAGAAAAGTAATTGAGTGTCATCCGCATACTAATGATAGGAGAGACAATGTGAGGATATGACGGAGCTGAGTGACTTGGTGTGTAGAGAGATAAGGAGAACCGAGCCCTGGAGGACACCAGTCGTGAGAGTACATGGTGCAGACAGATCCTCTCCATGTCACCTGGTAGGAGCGGCCTGCCAGGTAGGATGCAATCCAAGAGTGTGCAGTGCCTGAGACGCCCAGCCCTGAGAGGGTGGAGAGGAGGATCTGATGGTTCATGGTGTCGAAAACAGCGGATAGATCTAGGAGAATGAGAACAGAGGATAGATATTTAGCTTTGGCGGTGCAGAGAGCAGTGTTGTGGTAGGTCTCGAGACCACATTTTGAGTCTTGTTTCTGTGTTGGATACATTTGTACTTGGTCTTGACTCGGTCACGGACAGTGAGGACTTGTAATTTCTTCCCGAGACCAGCGGAGTAAAAAACTCATAATTATCAGATTCCATTCAGTAAGCGCATAAAACCGCTTCACCAGGCCAAATATATACACTCCTTTCTTGAAACATTAATACCTGCAGTCTTTATATGTATTATAGACATGTTTGCGCAGTGGCGAACCTATTGGACCTAGGCCTTCAGTTTGGACCTTCAATTTGTGGACTTAGAACATCACATTTCTGAGGGGGAAAAAAAGAAAAAGAAGGGATTTAGAGATTGCAAATCTGAAGGATATATAGGAAAACTAATTTTATAAAACATAAGAAAACATAGGATATCTCACATTTACTTCGCTGGGCAGGCCGTTTGGGATTTTCTTTAGCAAAATTGAGTATACCCACTTCTCCAGGCACCACTACATCACTGCATAGGGCTGATGGAAAGACCGCAGTCACACACAGCATGATGTTAAAGGATAAGCAGTCCATTCACTCTGACATAATAAGCCAGTAGGTCCCAATCATAAGAATACAAAAACACAACCATGAGGCTAAGCATTTCTTAATCGAAATGTACAACTATTACTACCCATTGCAAAAAACATTTCACGTTTAGCAAACAAAGTAACCGGTGACCTAAAGTTTAAAAGCAACAAATGTTTCACACATAAGTCATTTTCAAAGAGATGGCTAACAACAGCAAGCGAGGTGCAATAAAAAACACAGTTCCTCTCACCAGATGATGATGATCATTTGAAACATAACTTCTTGTTGAAAGTTATTCTTGAAAAGGGAGAAGCTAACAAATTAGCAACAACACCCTCTTCCATAACACCTGCTGCAGCCACTGCAAACTAGCCTACTAGACTGTGGAAAAACTACTGCTCGCTATTACGCAGTGACCTATTGGCCTTTGAGAAGGCAGAAGTTTCCATACGTTTTTTGTAAAAATGGTTCCACCCATTACAAGTCAAAATGTGATTGGTTGTGTCCACTGTCACTCCAAAATGTTGCCCTAATACAGTTGAATGGCAGATGCCTTCTATCTAGCTTCTGGTGGCCTAGCCAATGGCTGAATTTATCTCCCCGAGAGACCACTTTTTATCTCTTCAGTGTTAACCCTTTCCTTTCCAACAAAAACTGAAGAAATTAAATCAGAACATAATTGAAAATAATAATGTAATTAGAATTATTATTATTATTTTATAAATCCTTAGCCCTTCTCATTGTTCCCCACTGTGTTTGGGTTAGTAATAATTTGTTGTGTGGCTCTAATTTCCCTCAGCATGCAAAATAGCGAGAGAGTTGGTCAGAGACAGCACGCTCAAGTGTTTTGGAAAGAAAAGAAAGAAGGGATACCGGTCTGTAGTTTTTTATGTCAGATGAGTCGAGTGTTGGTTTCTTGAGGAGGGGATTGACTCAGGCCATTTTGAAGTCAGAGGGGACGCAGTCAGTGGTCAGGGATGAGTTGATGATGGAAGTGAGGAATGGGAGAAGGTATCCAGAGATGGTCTTGAGGAGGAGATGGGGTTGAGCGAGCAGGTTGTCGGGCGGCCGGATCTCACTAGTTGCAGGATTTCATCTGGAGAGAGAGGGGAGAAAGAGGTCAAGGCGTAGGGCAGATCTGTGTGAGTGGGATCAGTGGACTCAATAGGCTGAGTTAATGAGGAGCGGATGTCATCAACCTTCTTTTCAAAGTGGTTGACAAAGTTGTCTGCAGAGAGGGAGGAGGGATGGGGAGGGGGTGGAGGATTAAGGAGGGAGGAGAAGGTGGAAAAGAGTTTCCTAATGTTAGAGGCAGAAGCTTGGAATTTAGAGTGATAGAAAGTGCCTTTAGCAGCGGATACAGAGGAAGAGAAGGTAGAGAGGATGGAGTGGAAGGATGATCGGTCCTCTGGAAGTTTAGTTTTCCTCCATTTGAAATGTGTCTTTTGGCTGTCTTTTTATTCTCCCAGGACAACTCACTCATACAAACACGCAAGAGGCTGGGAGTAGCTGGGAGTAAAGTAGGGTCAGATTCCCCACACTGCCATCTAACCTTCAAAGCTAACTGCCACCTCTATCTCCCTGTAGGTGCTGAACCTCTTCCTGGCCTTGCTGCTCAGCTCGTTCAGTGGAGACAACCTGTCCAGTGATGACGACGGTGAGATGAACAACCTCCAGATCGCCATTGGCAGGATCAACTGGGGCATCGACTGGGTGAAAGCCTTTGTCCGCCACATGGTCCTGCAGCTACTGGGCAAAAATGCCACCGGGGACAAGGAAGGGGGCGAGGGGATCGAAGGAAACCCAGAAAAGGAGGCCTTTGCACTAAACCACTTAGACGCGTGCCAGGATTCCAAGATGGCCGACGAGATGACCAACTGTGTGGACGGGTTTCAGGCAGATGCCGAAATGAGCCTCAATGTGCCTATCGCCCAGGGGGAGCCGGACTTTGAGAATGATGATGATGACAGTGGGTCTTTTATATCAGATGAAGAAAATGGACATGGTGATCACTTAAAGGTACAGTATGATGGCAAACTGAAGACAGTAATTGTACTCTGCTTTGTCTATAAACTAATAATTATCAGTTAATAAACTACTTATAAACCCTTCATAAATCTTTTTAAGTATACCATGTAAATTGTTACCTGGATATTTAAGCAAACAAGTACAAGAATCAGGACAAATCTCAGTTTTTTAAAGACAGCTTGTGGTCGTAGGACATTCATCCTAGAATTACTTGGTGGTTCTCTTCAATCCGAGTTCACATTCCTACATGAGTTAGATTTCTCCTCTCTCTCCTATCCTGAAGTTGTGGCTGGCATTTTGTCTCAGTCACTCAGTTTCTCTCCTCCCTATCCATAGTTGTTGGGTGCAGTGGGTGATGAGTCCTCGGTGTGCAGCACAGTAGACTATGTACCTGAACCAGAGCCGGTGGAAGAGGAGGAAGAGGAGGAGCCAGAGCCAGAGGAACCAGAAGCTTGCTTCACTGATGGTACACAGGAAATACTGTCCCTTGCTTTAATAGATCTGGGTTGGGTTTCCTGATTTTCATGGTCTTTACAATGTATTGTTACTAAATTACAAAAATGTATCAAGTGTTTGATGTCTAATTTACTTGTGGAAATATCTGTCAACTTTGTCCCATATCACACACATTGGCACATCAGCATTCACAGAGAGAGAGTTACTATATTATATTTCATGTAAGATGGGATCAAACAGTTTGGAGTCACGTCTTAATAACATCAGTAAAGTGATTGCCGTGATTCGTCACGTCTTTTATTTGCTGGATTGTCCAACTCACTCATGATGTGGCTAGACTGTAGGCTATGCTACACAGACAGCACCTCAGGGGCAAGTGAAACAGTCCAAGTAAAGCATACAAAAACACCATGTTGACATTTCTCTCTCTCTCTTCAGGCTGTATTGCGCGATGGCCGTGTCTGACATTTGACGTCTCTCAGGGCAGAGGCAAGAAGTGGTGGAACCTCCGCAGGACCTGTTTCACCATCGTGGAACACGACTACTTTGAGACCTTCATAGTCTTCATGATCCTCCTAAGCAGTGGAGCTCTGGTGAGTGAGTCCCTGGTCATTGACTTATTTACAGTTGATACTCCATTACCGAGCTATTCGACTTTTGTCCTGTTGACCTTGGATATTATCAGAGCTGGCTCACCTGAAAAATTATTATATTCAGAAAGTGTTACTTCATAGTTATATATATTTTTTATTTCTGTTTATAACATTCTCTGGGAAGGCCACTAGTTATATTGAGATCCATTTTCTTTGGCTCACTTCTGATAGGCTTTTGAGGATATTTACATTGAGAGGCGAAGAACTATCAAAATCATCCTGGAGTATGCAGATAAAGTCTTCACCTATGTCTTTATCATTGAGATGCTCTTAAAATGGGTGGCGTACGGCTTCAAGACCTACTTCACCAACGCTTGGTGTTGGCTGGACTTCCTAATTGTGGATGTAAGTTTCCATTGAATTGTTTTTGGTGTGATATTTACACCGAATGAATAGTGGGTACAGCAATGTTACAACTATTATCACTGTTGTGGGTGAGCTCAATAATACATGTATGTGAAAATCAAGGAAGACATTGACATTTGTGTTACCTTGTATTCTCCGCAAGTAATTGATATTTGTCTTATCCTGCTTGTCAGAAAATACAAGAAAGACCTTACATTTGTAAGATTTTCTTCATTCATACAAGCATATAACGGGTTGTTGGGTGACTACAATGAAGTTACAATCCTGCCTCAGGTTTCCTTAGTCACTTTAGGAGCTAACTGGATGGGCTACTCTGAACTTGGACCAATCAAGTCTCTTAGAACACTCAGGGCTCTAAGGCCGCTTCGAGCCCTGTCAAGATTTGAGGGAATGAGGGTGAGCAACTGATTCAAACCTATCAGTACATACACACTTAAATAGCCACGCAGATACAGAAAGACACAGATCGACAGACACACCGACAGAAACGCTGATACAGACAATCCTAAACACATACACACACTGACAGTGACACGTCTCTGACAGTGACGTGTTGTGACAGAGATGACTGTGGTTAGCTATGACTATTGCAATGGAGGTGATGTAAGTGGTCATGACTGACTATTATGATGTAGGTGGCGTTAGTGGTCATCACTGACTATTGTGACGGAGGTGACTATTGTGACAGAAGTGACTTTTTGTCATGACTGACTATTGTGACAGAGGTGATGTTAGTGGTCATGACCGACTATTTTGACTGCAGAGAGCATGACTTACTATTGGAACAGTGGTGACTGCAGTGGTCATGACTGACTACTGTGACAGAGGTGGCGTTAGTGGTCATGACTGACTATTTTGACTGCAGGGAGCATGTCTTACTATTGGGACGGAGGTGACTGCAGTTGTCATAAATTACTATTGTAACATAGGTGACTTTAGTGGTCTTGACTGCACTGTGTCCTATCTATGGGGGGGGGCATGTGGTGGTGAATGCTACATCACTGATTATTGTGAGGGAAGTGGCATAAGTGGCCATGACTGACTATTGTGACTGAAGTGACTTTATTTTCATGACTGACTATTGTGACGGAGGTGATGTTAGTGGTCATGACTGACTATTGTGACGAAGGTGGCTTTAACGGTCATGACTGACTATTTTGACTGCAGGGAGCATGACTTACTATTGGGGCGGCAACGACTGCAGTGGTCATGACTGACTATTGTAACGGAGGTGACTTTAGTGGTCTTGACTGCACTGTGTCCTGTCTATGGGAGGAAGGTGGTGGTAAACGCTCTTGTCGGCGCCATCCCCTCCATCTTCAACGTGCTGCTGGTGTGCCTCATCTTCTGGCTCATCTTCAGCATCATGGGGGTCAACCTGTTTGCCGGAAAGTTCTACCGCTGCATCAACACCACCACGGAGGAGCTGTTCCCCATCACCGAGGTCAACAACAGGAGTGACTGCCTTGCCCTGCAGCACGCCACCCAGGAAGCCCGCTGGGTCAATGTCAAGGTCAACTACGACAACGTGGGCTTGGGCTACCTCTCTCTGCTGCAAGTGGTGAGGCCCAGGGTTTCTGAGATGCATGGGTGTTGAGGGCTGGCTCTCAAGCTGTGGCCCAACCCTCCTCCTGGAGAGCTACCCTTCCTCCTTCAGGCTTTTGCTCCAACCCTACTCTAGCACACCTGATTCTACTAATTAGCTGCTCACCAGGAAATCGATTAACTGAATCAAGTGCGTAACAACAGGTTTGGAGCAAATGCCTGCAAACCCAGTAGCTCTGAAGGAGGAGACTTGGCCACCCCCTGGTCTACTACAGTTTTTAATATTGTTTCCTCCTCTGAGGGTGTTGGTGTACTCGAAAGTATCTGAAAGAAGTGCCCTGTCTCTCTACAGGCCACATTTAAAGGCTGGATGGACATCATGTATGCTGCAGTGGACTCTCGAGAGGTAGGTACTTAGAGAAATAGAAGATACTGTAATATAAACCTTTGGTTTGGGGAGCAGTTATTACCACAGAAAACAATGTCATAACTTTAATGAATAAGCCATTGAAACATTTGTATACATTCTTTATAAATGATCATAAATGTGATTAATGCTTGTGAATTGTAATGCTTATCATGCTTAAAAATGATTTTATTAAAAGTGTATAGTTATACACAGTTAGTCAGATATTATTAATGCTTATTCAGGAAAGTCATTATAAAGTGTTACTGGACACATTGGTGGTATTTGAATTGTTGTAAGTAATGAGGGTTTTTGTTTGACGAGCGAACCTATTTTTGGTCCCCTAGGTGGAAGAGCAGCCCTCGTATGAGATCAACCTCTACATGTACATCTACTTTGTCATCTTCATCATCTTCGGCTCCTTCTTCACCCTCAATCTTTTCATTGGTGTCATTATTGACAATTTCAACCAGCAAAAGAAAAAGATAAGTACCAGCTCTTTTCTTAAAACTAGTGATTAATTGATGATGGATGTGTAGTTGGATATAGAAATCCGCATCAACTGTATGAGTCACCATTTGTAAAGGTTCTAACCATTATGTAGAAATTATGTTGAATGTAATAGTAAACTACATTCAACAATCTGACTCTAATATTATGTGAATAAATGCAACAGGCCCTGTACGTCTCTGGAGGAATCTAGTCAAGGTAGCGAGCCTTACATCAACTCTCAGTATGACAATAATGAACATGTGTCGAACTTGCACCGTTATGCAATTATTAGGAGACTAGATACAAATAGCTTGTTCTAGCATTAATTTATTGAGGCAAGCAGATTAGATATGTCAAGGTGGTACCCAAGCATATGCTATGTTTATAGCGTAAATAACAACTACCAATAGACCTACTAAATTATAAGCATATAGTTAATCAAAATAATTACTCTGTAAAACGAGGAATGCATTTACTCAATTCAACTAATATAATTAGTCACAAATAATTAACACTCAAACAATTACAGTGTACATGAAATACATGATATACAGTGCATTCGGAAAGTAGTCAGACCCCTTGACTTTTTCCACATTTTGTTAAGTTACAGCCTTATTCTAAAATTGATTAAATTGTTTTTTTTCTTCATCAATCTATACACAATACCCCATAATGACAAAGCAAAAACAGGTTTTTAGAAAAATTTGCAAATGTATTAAAAATAAAAAACGGAAATATCACATTTACTGTACATAAGTATTCAGACCCTTTACTCAGTACTTTGTTGAAGCACCTTTTGCAGTGATTACAGCCTCAAGTCTTTTTGGGTATGATACTACAAGCTTGACACACCTATATTTGGGGAGTTTCTCCCATTCTCCTCTGCAGATCTTCTCAAGCTCTGTCAGGTTGGATGGGGAGCATCGCTGCACAGCTATTTTCAGGTCTCTCCAGAGATGTTCGATCGGGTTCAAGTCCGGGCTCTGGCTGGGCCACTCAAGGACATTCAGAGACTTTTCCTGAAGCCACCCCTGCGTTGTCTTGGCTGTGTCCTTAGGGTCATCGTCCTGTTGGAAGGTGAACCTTCGCCCCGTTTCGAGGTCCTGATCACTTGAGCAGGTTTTCATCAAGGATCTCTCTGTACTTTGCTCCGTTCATCTTCCCCTCGATCGTGACCAGTCCCCAGTCCTTGCCGCTAAAAAACACCCCCACAGCATGATGCTGCCACCACCATGCTTCACCGTAGGGATGGTGCCAGGTTTCCTCCAGACGTGATGCTTGGCATTCAGGCCAAAGAGTTCTTGGTTTCATCAGACAAGATAATCTTGTTTCTCATGATCTGAGAGTCTTTAGGGGCCTTTTGGCAAGCTCCAAGCGGGCTGGAGTGACTTCCGTCTGACCACTCTACCATAACGGCCTGATTGGTGGAGTGCTGCAGAGATGGTTGTCCTTCTGGAAGGTTCTCCCATCTCCACAGAGGAACTCTAGAGCTCTGTCAGAGTGACCATCGGGTTCTTGGTCACCTCCCTGACCAAGGCCTTTCACCCCCGATTGCTTAGTTTGACCGGGCAGCCAGCTCTAGGAAGAGTCTTGGTGGTTCCAAACTTCTTCCATTTCAGAATGATGGAGGCCTCTGTGTTCTTGGGGACCTTCAATGCTGCAGAATTGTTTTGGTACCCATCCCCAGATCTGTGCCTCGACACAATCCTGTCTCGGAGCTCTGTGGACAATTTCTTGCCGCCCGTAGGGGAATGGCATAATCTACTATTACCAGGATCATGATGGTGGCCTGCCCGGTCGAATACTGCTTGGTGTCGCCGTGGACACAGGAGATGGACATCTCCTCACCACGGGCAGTCGGATGGGCCAGCAGGCGTGCTTGTATGAGCGTTACCCCACTCCCGGAATCCAACAGAGCGTGGGTGTCGTGACCGTCAACTTTCTACGGGACCATCGGTGCTGGTTCGCTGTGGGCCCAACAGGAGTTTACTGCATGGCCCGGCTCGTCTCCGGGGCCCGCTGATGGCATCGAATCCAATTCCATGCGAGGTGTCACCGGGCGCCACACTCAAAACACCTCCTTTGGTCTTCATCCACCTGGGGTCGTCGGCGGCGGATCGACTCTCCCCCGGCTGTCTCTCCGTGGGTCTGCATTCCTTTAACCCGGCTGACTGTCGGATTGGGGAGTACAGTAGGGGTGTCATCCTTCCATCCCCTCCGACTCGGCCTGCGTCCCCTTCAGCAGGGCCTCGGTATTCTGGTGCGTCTCCACGGCTCCCAAGAGGTCCTCCAAGGTCTGGGGCGCGCGTAGACTCGCCGCCCTCTTCATGTCGTGAGGTAGCGCCCGTAAGAAGCGATCCATGACCACTTTGTCGATAACGGGGAGGGTGGCTACGTCGGTTAGGAGCCATGCCCTGGTGATGCGCAGTAGGTCGTTCATCTGGGCTTGGGGGGAAGCTTCGGCCACGAACCTCCAGTCGTGGACCAGTTGGGCCCGACGGGCCATGCTTTACCCATAGTGGCTGAGTACCTCCCTCTTGAGATAGTCGTAGTTAGCCGCCTGTTCGGTGTTGAGGTCATTATACGCCTTTTGGGTGTCTCCGGACAAGAACGGGGCCAGTAGACCCGCCCACTTCACCTTGGGCCATCCTTCCCGGAGTGCTGTCCAGTCAAATGTGCAAAGGTAGGTCTCGAAGTCGTCATCCTCCGTTAGCTTGATTCAAAACTGATCGGGATGCGATTTAGTCTGAACTATCAACTCGTCCATGCTGATACTGCGTAAACGTCAACCCTGGTCTGACCATGTTGTCAGATTGCTCGCATTCTCCACCACTCATGGCAGACCAGGGGGTTTGATCTAGACGTTTACACAGATCAGACACGGACACAAGTGTGATACCTCAGTTTCAAGGGTGTTTGTTAAGGAGATCTCTTCTGGGTTACCACCTTCTGGGCTCCGGGGAATGCTGTCTCCTCTGGGGTAGAACACCGAGCCCCTCGGTTCTAGCAGACCATGAGGCCGTCTATCCGGTAGCAATCTCTCACTGCCTCCAACTCTCCTGTGTGCTGCCCTCCTGGCAGCTTTATGGGCCCCGTACGGCTGGTGAGCAATCAGCCCCTTGATTACTCACCAGCCTCAATCAGCCCCAATTAGTCCTGGCCGGAGGACCCTTCGAGACCTGGCATGTCCAGCAGAGGGAGCCACCGCCGCGTGATGTAGACTGTCGTGATGTTGACTCTGTCACCATATACATTTTAAAACAGTATAGGAGGGCTCTAACTTTTTCCCCTGGTGCCACTAATATTTTCAGTTGGTGGCACCAGCCCATGATTTGGTTGCAGAACATTTTTGTCAAGGCCTCACGCAATAGAACAAATTTGGAATAATGTTATAAAGTCATTCAAAGTGCTATTGAAATGGTATGATTCAAGAAATAAGTTGTTTCATCTAACATGTCCAAGCAGGAATGTATGATAAATATATTTTGATGTGTAACACCAAACCAGTGATTGGCATGAATTTTAGGTTGACAAAATGTGGCTATTGGTGCTATGGTTTTACTGTCAAAATAGGGCTCCAGAATTGCAGATTTATTTTGTTCAACAGAGATTCATTTACTCAGTATGCATTTTTTGCGCGATTGCATTTTGAAATGTTGCATATGCTAATCAGAATGCATTGTTGTGTAGACTGGCTAAAATATCCCAGCACAGGACAAATAAATATCTTTGAAGATGTTTATTTGGAAAACTGTCCCTGGCAATGGAAACAGCATCAATTGGAAAGTTATTTTTATAAAGTTTAAATGGAATACAATAATAAGCAATGGCTTTACTGTTTCAGATATCCTGCTTACTGAATAAGATTGAAGTGTTACCCATTACATATGTCACCAGTAGTAAATGCACTGTTAATCCCCTTAATTTGGTTAAATGCATTTCTGTTAATATATGTAGCCTATTAATCACAGTCATTTACTATTCTCATTCTCAGAGTGGAAACATTGTTTACATAGTTCACAACCCGCTACACTTGTGAGAAACAAGTTTTGGTTTATTTCATACCATAATTTAGTTTTGTATGGAGTGCTCCATGTGAGCAAATGAGCATGTGTCTGAACTCTGGCTTGTGTCTCTGTCCTGTTAATGTTGACAGAGTGTGCACACCTGAGCACGCATAAAGTAGGCTTTGTGGCCTGCTGCGTGCATACAGTAGGTAGGAATATGCCCATTTGGGGATGTCTGATTTCTGACCACCACTAATAATAAGCTGAGCTTCTCAGTCATTTTTTCTTCACCTCACACAGTAAGTCAACGGAAAACGTCTGTATTTTTTTTACATCCATTGCGAATGATAGGCTAATAGGCCTAGTTCCTCACAGTATTTGAAAAATCGTTCCAACACTCTCCCCCTCGATAATCACCAAGCCTCAGTGTGAAAGAGCAAAATGTCATGCTCTGATGATCCCATATATCCAGTGGAAATGTCATAAAATACCTGAACACTTTCCCTTGCGTAAAAAACAGCGGTCTGTCTCGAGCTCACTGGGGCAGGCTGGAATAGGCTAGTTAATACAATGTTGCAAGTTCGCTAGCCACAGCTTTAGGATGGACCCAGTTGATTGATTTGATACAATGTTGCACTTCACTAGCAATAGCTCAAGTCAAGAGAGATAGAAAGAGAGGCAGAGAGGCGGGGTAGATAGATGAATGTGATTTAAAGAACCTACATTTTCATCAGGATATTTTTGACTGTTTTAATTTGTAGGCTTCATGTATTTTTACTTAGTTGACAATGGAAGTTATAGGCCTACTGCTGCATTGGAAAATTTGGCCTGTATGCTATCTCTGAGATCCATGTGCTAATTTCTTTCATTCTTTATTTCACCTTTATATAACCAGGTAAGCCAGTTGAGAACAAGTTCTCATTTACAACTGCGACCTGGCCAAGATAAAGCAAAGCAGTGCGGAAAAAACAACAACAACACAGAGTTACATATGGAATAAACAAAATGTACAGTCAATAACA